AAAACCCTTTGCAAAGGTTCTGCTGTGGAGAAAGTCAAACGGTAGAATTCAAAGTAAAGGAAACTGGAATTGAAAGATTTGGATAATTATATACCTGTCAATTCTACCAATTTCTAAATGAAAAAATAATTTACGTAAAAAAGGCATTCATTTTATACATAGCATAACTTTGAGTATCAAATGTACTCTAACCAGCTTTGTGAAGTTGGCGGTTTTTCGCCCTATCGACATGAAGTTAGCAGCCTAGCGGCATAAAGTTAGCGACATTTCGCTCTAGCGGCGTAACGTTTGCGACCTAGTGACATGAATTTAGCGGTCATTTGCTCTAGCGTCTTTCGCCCTATTGGATTGAAGCCCTAGCAACAGTTAACGGCCTGGCGATGGCGAACCATCGAGTTCAGAGATGAGCAAGAATAGCAACTCAAGAAGAGATATAAGTACATGTACATGTATACATAATATTTAATCAATGACATATCTTCAGAAAAACTTTAGATTTTATTTATTTTCCTTTTTTAGTATCAGAAAGTTAGAAAAATGAGAATGAAGGTTCAAGTTCTTAATAGATCTCCATGAACCATTGTATTGTTTTCACGATGTCCATACTACACGATAAACATTTGCCGTTATTATACTAAGTTGTACTTCTCTCCTGCAAATAAGATTGGTTGCCATCGGCATAAAGATATTGAATCACACAATTAAATAAGCAGGTAGTATTTAATCAAAGATTTATGTCTTTAAAGTAGTTATCAATAACTGGTTTATTTTTTCAATCTTTTGATATAAGAAAGCCAGAAAAATGAGAATGAAATGCTGAAGTTCCGGTCTGGTCACCATGAATTGTACTGTCGCTTAAACATGATATCCAGACATCGTCTCCGGCGTTCAGGTGTAATACTAGCGAGGTACTTTTTTCCTGCCAGTGAGGTTGGTTGGCATCAGCATACAGATATCCAACACTGTTACTAGCTAGGTTTTTCACGAACGCTACATGGAAACCAACGTTGTTCGGTGTAGATGACAACGTGGCACTTATCTGATATGTTCCGTTAACTGGTGCACGAAATGTTCCATGTCTGTTATCGTAGCCCGAGCCTTGATTCAGTTTGACCTGGTCAAATATTACAGGATGTTCCGATAAGCATCCGGTAATACGATGACCTAGTGATGCCATAAACGCTGTGCTGTGATCCTTGTTAGAGCCTAAAATAAATTTACTGACACTGAAAACTTCTTTATTCATGCAATTTTATAATTTCTTTTTTTTTTCTTTAAAAACTGTATCACGTACGTTTCGTATAATCTGGATGATAATTTATGATTTAACATACCAAATACTTTTATTTGCTATTTAGTTTTGCGACGGAGAACTACCAGTTCGTACAGTTAAGTTCGAATCAAGGTAAAAAATTTTAATTCTGTATCATATAAATCTACCTATAAGGTACATACGGTAGGTAATTTGGTTTGTCCGACTTGATTATTATAAGAAAAATTTTGCCAAAAATCCAATAATTCATTATATCTGAATTATACTCTTTAACCGACTATGGTTGAGACAATTAATGGTACCTGAACATGTACATGCTTCCTGTAGTTCTTTAAGTTGAGCTTTATTATTGTTAACATCAGCTTCTAGTTTCACCAACAGCTGAAGAACACTGCTGTCCGGCTGTTCATCTAACAGTAGGCTATTCACTTTATTTGCTCCGAGAACAAGAAAAAGAATTACAATTTTATTGAACATTGTTTTATGATAAACAATCCCACAATGATATAAAAATGGGACAATTTCTTATCTCTGTATACATTTGGCATCATTCTATTTACATCAGTAGAGTTAATAAAAAAAAAAGTTTAATAGTTTATTGTCTCATTCCAAGCATGTCATTTATACAATACATCACAATGTTCAATTGACCAATCTCGATAGATTTATAAGAGACATTTAAAAACATGATGATACTGGTAGAATATATTCTATAGCTAAAAACCAATTTACTTTATAACCAAGTTACATGTATATATAACAGATATTTTTGTTTACTCCTTCATGAAAAAACAATATACTTCAAAAAATAATGCCCAGAATATTTGTGACAATACTACTGCAATTTACTTGTTATGTGGGTGAGGCCAAATTTAATATGTTCATACAAAAGCGTAAGTTTAGTGCAGCATACATGTACCCAGCATTGCTGTATAATTCTCATTATTCAGCAAAAGAATAATAATAATGTTCCAAATGAATGCATATATCATGGAGTATAAGGTTGTAACCCAAAAAACACTTGACTGTGAAAGGTGTGTGACCTAAAATATTCGAATAAGTACATGATTATGCTAAATGTGTGATCCAATAAGTACATGATTTTAAAAACATGGTGTGTGACCCAAGGAACAAAATTGAGCATTATGTGGCAATAAGTACATGATTGAACATGGTATGTGTCCCAATAAGTACAAGATTGTACATGATGCATAACCAAACGAATAAATACATGGTAGAACATGGTGCGTAAAAAAGTTATTATTTAATATGTTGAACACATTTGCCTACATTCTTTTATAAATTGCTTTACTAATAACTATAAGTCAGACATAGCTAATTTACTTTGGTTTCACTATATTTTTATTATTTATATTATCATTTTTTATTTTATTTTTTTAATCTGTTTAATCAAAGTTGTGAGTTAGTTTGCTAATTTCAAAATTATATATCAATTGCTCTACTTCAAAATCCAAGAACCTGTTTGTACCTATAATAATGTAAGGAAAACTACCACACAAGCCTATTTAATTACATGTATTGTAGTATAAATATGAGTTAAAGAAAGGAAAAGTCATGTATGGTTGAAGCCGTGATTCTAAACACTTATTTTGCAAAGTAGAGTGGGGGATTGATAAACTTCTTTTATTTTCACCTTTACCATAGCGCTTTAAAAACTATCGTAACCAAAGTAAGACAAATCCCGCGGTATCAACTTTTTGCTCTGTTTTCATTGCTCCCATTTCCAGTAGGCAGGTGTCCAGTGCTATGTGACAGCCGGACAAACTGCATTGAACTTCTCATTTTTGTTTATTTTTCCAGGGGGGGGGGGGGTCCGGGATTACTGATTTCAATACTTTAAGTGTTGAGGATTTAATTTAAGAGATGCTGTATATTAAACTATCATCTCTAAATAAGAGACGCAACAAAACCGAGTATGCAGTATTCAACTATTTGCTTTGTTTGTCTTCATTACTCTCTGGTGATTTTTCCTCTGTTTTACCTTTTTGCATGAGTTGATTTCATCTATCACATGTTTTGAAAATAACAGCTCCATTTTTGTTTTGCATCGTACTTTAATGTCAGTTTTCAAACTTGCCAAGGTCCTTTATTGCGGTCAATGAGTGTAATAAACCCTTTTTCTGGAGAGACTTCTAGTATGTTACAATGACCCAAGCATTTGCTTCCAAATGCGTAGAAACATTTGAGCCAACCAAAATAATGCGTTTGCGACCAGCATGGATCCAGACCAGCCTGCGCATCCGCGCAGTCTGATCAGGGCTTACAAACCCTATAACAAGTGGAGAAACTGGTAGCGAACAGCATGGATCCTGATCTGGATCCATGCAGGTCGCAAACACATTTTGTTGGTTTTGTCATGGCGCGGCTCATTTGGCAAACGAATCATAAGCGCACGGTCAGCTTTCTATCATAACATAATGTTTTTCATTGGTTTGTAGTTTTTGAGAACATTTCAACACATATTTCAAAGGGAAAAGTGTACGAGCACACTTCGAATAAAAGGAACGTTCAACTGTTATTGATTGATGGATTTAAGAATTCGTATTTATGTTCGACATTATGACGACGTACAGAGTACAAGATTTGATCCCCTATCTTAAAGGTCAAGGTCACACTTGTAGATATGACTTTTGATTAAAGTAGTCGTAACAACAATTATGTCATTGATGGGTAGATTTAAGAATAATTATTATGTGTAAACATGTTGTACATAAGCACGAAGTGCAGAGAAGAATTGGGTCTCTTCATCAATACATCAAAAGTCAATGTCACACTTGTATTCCTAAGTCATTCATTAAAGTGCATGGATGGTTGTGTCCGGACAACAGTTCTGCCATTCCAGGATGAATTTTTAAGATGATTTGGCATAAATGAGTAAGGCGATGAAGTGTCGCTTATAGGGGCCAAGTATCCAGTTAAAAGGTCAAGGTTGCACTTGTGTGTCAAACTTGACATATATGAATAGGTTGTCGCTTTGTCATTCATGGATGGACTAATTAATGTAGAGTTATGATTCTTAGAAAAGGTACTTAGTCATGGTACTTTGTAACATTGTTTAAATCAGACAATATCAGACAATTTTTTTTTTTTGGAATATCTAATAATGCAACAGATGGGACACACTATAACTTTCACTTCTAATTGGTATACATGCACGGACAGTGTAAAGTGATGTCTAAATCATCTAATTTATTAACCAGGTCTCTAGGACAAAGATCAAGGTCACACTTAGAGATCATTGAAAAACGCATGTACGAGCAAAACTTCTACATGTATAGAGGGATTTCAATATAACTTGGCACAAATGTACACAATTGCAAGGCGAGTATCACATGCGAAATTCAAGTGCCTGTAATTACATGTGGCCAAGGTCGAAGTCACATAGGGGTCAAAGTTCCGATGAAAATGTGTATTCAGATCATTTACTCATCATTTATTGAGGGATGGAAACACAGTCAATGGAAACACAGTCATTATCATGACTACCATTGTAAAGCTAAGTATTGTGCACATAATCAAGGTATATGCTACCAAAGTCAAGGTCACATAGTGAAGTCAAAGTTTGTGTACAGGGACCATTTAGTCATCATTTATTGATGGATTGTAACACAAATGATGACTATCATAACTACAAATGTGTCACATATAATTTAGCTTAATATTTGATAGAATATCCAGATATTGCCCAGAGCATATCTCAAATATGCATATCTATAATGCCACATCTCTGTCAAAAACTTTTGTTACGGGCGTAATTTGCGACAATGTTGCCCTTGTTTAGAGACATTAGCTTAGGAATAACATTTTTTAAAAAGTGCCAAGTATTAACGTGATGTACAAGATACCACCTTTACCTGCATGTTGTCAAACTTAACATTATTATGGTAGAAAAAAACAACAAAATCTATTACACACATTTTCAAATGACATTGTTTTATTTCTATACAAAAGTGCTTTTTTAAACATTAGAATTTTTTAAAGTTGTTCTGAGTGAAACGTTCTGTTTTTTATTTCAAAGTAAAATACACCTTGTATTCAAAAACGAATTAACATCTCAATAATATATAATATTATATATGTATGTATGCAGTTTTAAACATTTCCATATGTCAAGATAGCACATGTGCTTAAATTGTAGTAAAAATATCACAGTTTATAATAATGTACATGTATATAAAACAACATATACATGTATAACATTTACAACAGCAGTTACACATATCACAGCTTCACAAAACATTCGCAATGACTACCAGAAATAGAATAAAACATATAATATATAAGATTTATATAATTAAACTTAAAAACAGAACCAGCAGAATATTACGCTATTTTCTACACAACATAGCTATACATAATGTGTCATAAAGTATATTCAATTTAAAATAAAACTTATTTAATATAAGGGCATATCTTCTTACAAAAAACATGCAAAAATATATAACCATTCTGAACATTTCCAATATATGAATAATATACGTCTACACTTGTTTCATTTTACTTCTTCATTAAAAATCACCATTTAAAACTAAATAATAACACAAAAAGAAGTGGCAAAATTCTAAAAATACACTTATTTTTCCATATTTATTTTCATCTGAAATATTTCTTTATATACATCACCAAGTCTGTCATCAAAATGTATCTCTATCATTGGCTAAATTAAAAAGGTTTGAATTTGAATCTGGCCAATTGAAATGACTTTTTCCTAAATATATTTTATCACATTTGAACAAAATGCTATTTTTGGCAGAATAACAATACTGACATGTAACAAGCACTTTGGTGACTACAAAAATATCACAAGATAATTACAACAATGCTTTGATGGTAAATATTAAATATTTGTTGAAAAACAAGATATCAAGTTGCATATATCAAATAATGATAAAATAGGATAAATTATATTAAAACGTGAAAAAGATATAAAATAATTCCCTCAAACAGTTTCATGATCAGATTTTTATTTTTTCCATAATGTTATATATGAATAATCACAAGTTTTTAGTATGTAATCCATTTTCACAGTTAAATAATCACAGTTAATTAAAGTACTAGTATTTATGACATTTTCAGTCTCTGTAGAACAGGTGCACCTTTAATTGGAGATGATACAGCGGTTGTTTTCAACCTGATATTGTCTAAAATATAGTTAACTCTCTGTCCCCTCATTCTAGGATCTGGGTGTGGTCCTCTCATTGGGTGGGACGATACTCCCCGGGGTGGGGCATAATCTGGCAGTACTCCACGCACATTATAACTCCACTGCATATCTGGTGTCTACAAAAACAGAAAAAAAATCTTTGAAAGTCAACAAGATTTTTTTTTAAAACTACCAATCACTGATAATGTGTTAATTAAAGAAAACACACATTGATACATATTTCAACCTTATTTCCTTTACTGACATTAATGATATACATTGTACTTATTCACAATTAAATATACGTAAGGTCAACCCTAAAATAAATTTTATTTATCTAGTGGGAAACTCTTTTTACTGACGTTATATATTCCCATCTGCACAATTACAGTAAACATATTCTAGCACTATGTAAGAAGTGACCAGCTACCCAAATTAAGTATCGTATGTTTCATTTAATATAACAGGATTTAAACTATGTATATTATGTTCATACATATATATAATATACCTGTATAATCAGTTTTCCATTGTAAATTTTTCCATAAACAGATGGACAGAAACCAACTCTCACAAGTGTTCCATTACTACCTAGTGGAAGTAACTCTCCAGATGCTGGGGAAATAGTGAATTCTGGGTCACTACCAGCAGAGAAATATGCATTATATGAAACAGGGTACCTGAAACAATATATAAATGAAAGTATATAAAGAGATATATAAGATAATAAATTTATTTCTATAAGGTTAACTTAACCCTTAGCCTGCTGGACTTCTTTAACAGACTTGCCCAGCTTGTATTTTTTTGAACTGTCAATTATGAAATATGACCTGGCTCTATACCGGTGGCAAAGCCTTATTTTACTTCCAGAACGTTAAGGGCTAATTGTTAATCTTTGCCGATATCAAATTTTATTTTATTTAAACAGTCATTGAAGTTTTAAGCTGCATTAATTGACTAGGACACAGGGGTTTTATTCATTACTTCAATAAATGTTCTTAAAATAAATAATGTAGATTTTTGTTGCCTCATAGAGTATAGCTCATTACAACTATGACAATGTTTAGATTTTCTTCTAAAATAAATTAAGGACAAAGACAAAACTATTCTATGTGTGTATACAATAGTCTTTAATTAAGGTTTTGAATTCATTTATGTAGTAAATGGATTGTCAAAGAACATACTTAGCTTGACTAGTAAGCCTGAAACCAACAGAAGATTCCTTTCCAAGACCTGTAGCCTCAATATCTATAAGGTCGTCCACTGGAGGTTCTAATGCAAGGAATCGGATTGGGAACTTCCATACTCCACCTTGTGATGCTTTCACCTCTAAAGTTACACCATAACTACAAGTAAGAGAAGAAATTTAGTATAGCTAAATTTGTGAGATGTAATGGTCTGCTTTTTGGAGTACTAGTAGTCTATTTGGAGTATAAGACACAAAACAATGCTAACATTGATCTGTACAGAGTAAGGTAAGCTAGATAAGACGTACAGAGTCAGGTCAGACAGATGTACACAGACTAGTCAGACACACAGTTGTACAGAGTCTGGTCAACCACAGATAACCTGTTAAAGTCTTTTTACTAAAAAATTTATTGGGAAAGTGGAGAGCAATACTCTGGCAAACTTCATACTGATAACTCAACAAGCTAAACAAATGCAATACCAAATATAGCTGTTTAATGTTATATTTTATTCATCATGTACAAAATATTTTTTTAAAAAAAAAACAAAATCAGATTACCCAAAAAAATTTATTCCCCGGGGGAAATTAAAAGAAAAAAAGCTTTTTTTGTTTATCTCGTTTATAGAAAGCATAAAAATATTTAGACAGTGTGATTCAAAGACAAAATTAAAGAAAAAATTTACCCGTCAAAAATCACTAAATTTTGTTTTGATGTTTATTTCTTTACAATGTTAAAAATAAAAAAAAAAATTTTATTTGTTTTTTTTCATTTTTTTAATTTTTTTTTAAAAAAATTTTTTCCTGGTTTTAAAGGGACTGGAAAAAACCCCATTTTAAAATACAAGTAAACAAGGGGCCCCGGGGGTGGGAGGTTTTTCTCTGGTGTTGACGGAAAAAATTTAAGGGGGACAAAAAAAATTTGAAGTTTCTCTTTTAGGGGAAAAACAGAGTCTTTTAATTTGCAAATTTCTTATGTGAAATTCTTTCTGCCCCCAAAATGCTAGGGCTGCAAATAAACAAAGCAAACAATTTTGTTTTTAGAATATCTGTTTTTTTTATGGTACCTTTTTCTATATTTTTGGTGGGTTTTAAATTACGCTAATACTACTAAGTTCATTTGAAAAATTTTAAGTTACACTGGAAGAACACCAAAGATGTATATCTTAGTCTATTTCAGACATTTAGAGTTCTATCAATTGAAGTAACATGCTCATTTTCCACTGTTGAGCTGAATGAACAATACATTTCAAAGACTGCCTATTATGGTCAATGATGAAATAATTGAAACAAACTAATGTTTTCATTGTAAAATATAAAACTGTCCTGAATACAAGATTGTCCTACTATTTTTATCACATAAACATTGGCAATACATTCTGAAGAATATATATATGGACATTTTTTTTAGTAATGTGGGTTATCAATCGTTCATGCAAAGACAATTATGAAATTGGACGGTTATTTGGACTTTTACCTGCACTCTATTATGCCACTTAAAGTAATATGTCCAGTATCCTAATAGTGACTGCCAGAGTTAATTTTATAACTGTTTAAATATGTTAGAAAAAAAAACCCATAAATTTCTTACTTTCTCCAACAACAATTCCATCAGGTAATTTTGGTGATTCATTCTTTGGAGTAATGGATCTTGTATAGATTGACCTCTGTGGACCCGAGGTTACTGGGGCAACACCAGCTAATGTGACCTCTAACCTTTCTTCAAGCCTATCTCTTGCCTTGCACTCAATTATAGCTCCAAAAGACTCTTTTATTGGATGGGATTCTGGGATACCCTGGATAGGGAATATCCAGCGTACCTCAATGACCCCTTCACTTCCTGTCCTTGATAACTGATATCTGTATAAGTAAGTATAAATCATTAATATCATTTATGATTTGAAATGAAGTAGGTAGACAAATACAAAATTAAATTGAGGCACCAATTTAACGCAGCTTGACCTATCAAAAAATCTTCATATATTTTACTGAAATATATTTTAAGCAACTTTATGTCATACTCTTTTAACTTATATAGATAAAAAAAAAAAAACAGTTGATAGTCATAGTCTACAAAAACATGATAACTTATCAGGTAGGTTTTTGTAGGAGTGAATCAGTTAAATTTAACATACCCTTGTGTATCTCTCGGAGCATACTGCCATTTCTCACCATCTTCTCTGGTAACTATCACTGTACATACAGCCTCATACATTTTCATCTCTGTCGGAGCAAAGCATACTGGGATATCTAGGGTTGATTTTGGACCCACCCGGATACCTGCTTTACGTTTGAGCAGCAAACAGAAGGGATTGTTGTCCTCTGACTTTTCATTTTCTAAAGTTTCTTCAAGAGTTGAGTTCTTATCTAAATCAAAGAAAATTTAATGCCAAAAATTAATGCTGTTATTGTTCCTGTGAAATACTCTCCTATTAGATGAATTATGATTACCTCCCTTGAAACAGATATCATATTTTTTTTAATGCATCTACAGAATTTATACCTTATTTTAGATAAATTAACAGTTTAAAATGGATATGTGTACAATTTAACATTTCATTTAACATATTTCAACAAAAAATTGATAAATATATTAATTATATTAATAAATTCATTAACAAACGTTAACAGATATTTAAAAGACTGCAAAGAAGCACATACCTCTCAGCATGACCTCACATAATACAGCTTGGTCCATGGGATTCCTGAATGGTATTATAAGTGTGGTGTTAGAGCCTGCCACAGTGAACACACTCACTGGGTCTTGTGTCTGTGGTAAAAGTCCAGTGCCAGATGCCACAAACACCCATTCTCCAAGCTGAAAAAAAACAGAAACAAACTGACTTGTATGGTCACCAATTCTTGTTTTTTTTTTTATCAAAATACATTCTTGACTTGCATTGCAGGATACATGGTATATATGAAAGGCAAATTTTGAAGTTGAACGTGTGCTTTTAGTGCAAGTTTTTCAAAAACCCTCTTTAATTTATTCACATGCCTTCAGTTTCACGGTTCAAATTCAAAAGAAAATAATTAGCAATAAATCTATTTAACCACTTACGCATGAATATGATAATAAGTTAATAATACTATTATGTAACACTAATAATACAATTATATAACTGCAGCTGATCCACAAAAAAAACAATGTTCTTAAATGCAGTATATCATACCTGTTCACTAAGGAAGCAAATCTTTGCAAGATGGTCACCCTCTCCCAGGGTCGAAGGCATAAAGTGTAATGGTATCTCAAGTTTAGAATGAGGTGCTAGAACTATAGGTCGTTCATTGTCACGTTCAAGGGAGAAGTTATTTGTATTTGAAACTGTTGGGATCAGTTCTAGAGTCTCGTCTGTAGGGTTGTCTAGTAATACATTCTGTTTTGTCCATCTGCATGTAAAATAAAAAATTTAACATTTCAATAGTCATATAAAAGTAAGTTTAAAATTACATAAAATGTTATTAATTATTCTTTATATGCTAGAAATGTTGTATAATGTTTAACCCTTTACCACATATATACGCGAAACAACGCACTTTCGACCCCCCCCCTTTTTTAGGCCTCAAATAGTGAAAAAATGTCCTATTTGGGCCCCAAACATAAGTTTTCGTTTGAGAAATGTTGCTAAAAAAATTGAGCACTTTTTCGGCGCCGCCCCCCATCCAAAAGATACATCAGGGGGTTGCCAGAAGGGGGATGTGCCCCCTTCTGTTAGGGGGGTTTGAAGGGGGGCGGAGTCCCCCTCATCGCCAAGAAAATTTTGGACTTGTGAGAGGCTAAAAATGACCCCAGGTCGATCATAATGTAACGTTTAACCAACGCTGAAAAGCCTTTGACTCTATCTCAATCCCTTGAGCAGTTACAGCACTTTGAAATAAATTTTGATGAAAAAAATCGAGGCAAAATAGTGATTTTTGGCAATTTTGAGATGTCCCCTCGTTGCCATGGTAACAGGAAATTTAAGACTGAGCATGTCGTTACAAAGGCAATGGTCCAGTCAACATTTGTGCCAAGTTTGATTAGTATTGAAGCATTTTTCATAGTTTCATAGCAGTTTGAACTTGTAACAGGAGGCTTTTCAGTGAAAACGGCCATTTTTCACAATATGCTCATGGGGGAAAGGGTTAAAGCAAATAAACTGTATTGCATTGAATATTCATAAAGTTTAATATGATTCATCTTGTTAACAAGTCATACTTAATAGCATTTAAATTTTTTATGTAAATCAGCTGTTAATATTATTAGCAATGACATCAACAACTTTATTATCAGATAGAACTGATTGTAAATGATGCATTTTTAGACTAGGTGTAAGTGTCCTGGAGGCCAAATATCCCGGATTCTACACATGTTTTAATATATGTACTTCACAACAACAAATTAAACAAGATAATTATAAAACCATGGAAACGTACCGGCCCAGTTCACACTGCATGTGCGGTAATGTTGTTTGTGTGGGCGACTCTGCCAACAATTTCAATAAATACCAAAATTCTCCAACCATCTCATGGTAAAATATTAAACTGTAATAAAACAAACAACCATTATAAAATAATAAAATAATAACAGACATTTCACAAATATGTGAATTAAAAAAAAGAAGAGATAATCAAACAGGCTTCATAAGCATTCACAGTAAAAAAAGGCAAATTATTAATTTTTAACCATAATTTGATAAATTATCTAAATATTATGTGGTCAAATTTTTGGAGAAAAATATTTATCATGAAACAAAGCTTTGAAAAGATTAAAAAAATAATCTTTGTATAGATATTAATTACAGTTTTCCAACCTTATCTTATTAAAGTATTGTGAAACAAGTTTGTTTCCTTCTTTTTTCTTTCTTTTTAGATGATACAATAAAAGACCATATTTTCAATTTTATAATGTTAATGTATTGTTATGTCTCACCTGCCCTTAGTTTGTCCTATGACAGCTGGTGCATACTGTAATGTATACACATCTTTGGAACCAGCTGGTAGTGTAATAGATGGGGCACCTGACAGGTTACGACCTGTTATTGTAGCTTCTAGAGTGACATCATTCTGTGTAGGGTTTCTTACAATCACCTCTAATAATTGTTTCTTCTGTAAACCAAAAACAAAACGATTTTTAGATATTAAGATATTGATTTGGTATGCTAAATTATATTTTACATTTTAATTTCATTGAAATCAACATCAAATGACTTTTGTTTACATCATTTCCTGTTACCTGATAAAGACTTTTGAGTCAAAATATGGTATTTTATAATCAAAATAAAACAGTAACAGTGTTTAATAGGTTGAATTTATATTCATACTTACATTGACAAAATACTGGTAATATATTATCAAATAACATATAGATAGTATAAACATTTTTGTTCCAGCTTGATCATGATGAATACTTGAACCACTTTTTAAAACAGCTTCCTCGGACAGATATGAAATCTCCACACTTTATATTTCAGCTCTGAGCAAGCAAACAAAGCTATTCTATATGTCCGCTGAATAGCTTCCTTATGGGAAGTTTGTTTGTTTGTTTCATTTTACGCCTTTTCCAAACAGTATTTCAGTCATATAGGAGGGTAGTTTCCTAACCATCGTTCCTGGAGAGTTACACCAGTACTAGACTACCTTCCTCCACCCTAAACTACCAAAGCATCTCCCGGGGATGGAACCCATGCCAGAGAGGTAACTGGATTAGAAGTCATCAACTCTAACCCCTCGACCACGGAGGCAGATCTTATAGGGAAGGTACATCATACATTAAAAATTCTTATAGGGAAGAATTTTTAAAGTATGATGTACCTGCTCAGTTTAAACCTACAGTGCTGAGTTGGTCAAACCTATCAAACATTGAGTCATTTTATGTTCTTCATTCCTAACAGGAAAACACTACAAATATATGGTCATAGATATACATGTATTACCTGACAAGCACAGGTGACCTCGAGGATACGTTCTGGAGGTGCAGGCTTCACATGTATCTCTAATGAGTACCATACACGATAACCGTAGAACTGTCTCGCCTCCTCGTCTTCATCTGGCATCTCGTCACCATCACTGTCAACCTCACTGTTATAACATAATAATTATAAATAAATAATATAAATAAAAAAAATAAATAAAAACTTTATATAAAGAATGACAAAATATGGTGTACTGAATATACCATATCAGGCATAGTAGCTTATTATTAAAATTGTATTCCAAACCTTCATGTAAACAAGAAAGATATGTTTCTTCTTCTACAGATCTAATATGTCATAAATGTAATACATTGTATAATACACAGGTGATTTTGGTAGTCATTTTATTTTATAAATGATACAAAAAAAGTTTGCACTCAGCTTTTTCAATAAATTCAATATTTAAAAGACATATCCATTTGATATCCCATACACATACAGATAATATTTCCATGTATTTTCTGTCAATAGTTTTTGTAGATTTCCCTTTATAATACGTTTCAGAAAAATTTCCCTTTACGTCAAATGATTTAATTCTAAATGAAAATGTGTGAAACAGTTTTAAAATACAGGAAACTCTTATATCTCTTTATACCTGGGAAACACAAATACTCTTTATACTCTTTGAACTTATTTAACAACAGACTTACACAACAGGGTTTTTGCCAGCGACAAATGCTATCACACCCTTAAATACTCCACGTCTCACCGGAGCTACTGTCATCTTGTACATGGCTTGTTGACCAGCCAACACATTTAAAGACTGATTCCCACTCACTATTGGCAGGTCAGACTCAACCTGGAGCAAGAAACAATGATATTATTTTACACATCAAAACTTTGCTGTTTATTTCTAAATTCAATATTTTTTTATTCAGAAATTTCATTAGAAACATCACTTGCTTTTACAAATAGTTTTTTTTTGTCCACCATAGATTACATATGAACAGACTATGACTGTATGCCCCAAATATTTAAATTTTTAAAATAAAGGAGGGAGAATGTACCAAGAAAAATGTAGATAATTTTGTCACATCTTTATTCATTTTTAGTCTTATTTACTAACTCCTACCTTGTAGCAAAGCTTCTTTCTTGTCACATTAGGTATTTTTAATTCATAGGTTAGCCTGAAATAAAACAGCACAGTTGATTAATATTCTGAAAAGATAAATAGAAAAGCTTCCATTTTACCTTAAATATTCATTACATATTAATCGTTCAAAACAAGTCAAATAAATTTTACACATTGAAGTTCACATGACTTTAAACCGTTATCACATAAATTTAAAGTAAAATATAAGAATAAATTTGCTTCAAAATACATCATCATATTATTTTGTAAAGATACTGCAAACAATGTTAGTACAGACAACAAACTTACGTTTTCTTGACCTGTGATTTGAGGACGACATGTTCCAGGGCCAGAGGTTTCTCTGCGGTACCATTCAGATGGAACACATGCTCTGTACCATCCTCTGTATTAATTAAAACTAGCTTGCCCTGGAAATGCATAAATAAAATATCATGTATTGTAATTTAATAAACATATTCTCTGTCTGTCTAAAATGTCTAATAATTTTATAAAGATAGTATTTGTTTTAGAAATGAATATATAAAACATTACAAAATAACAGGCTGAATTTCTAAAATGGACATGTCCTGCTTCCATTTTTGTAACTGTCCATTATAAATTTAGAAGATATGAAGATTTGAAGTTGGTTAGTTAACAGTGTAAAAGCCTATCTGTGACTTTCAGTTCCAGCAGATTAAGGGTCTATCAAAATAGACATACCTGTGTTAAATGTTCCTGGAATTCTACAGTGTAACATATATGCAGAGTTATAATAGACAAACCAATCTAACAGAAAATACATGAAAATTTTCAGGTTATATTAATCAGATACTTACACTGACAGGATTTTCATTCTGTGGTCTAAAGACAAGAGGATATTTGGATGTCTGGTATGCCTTGGCCAGAATACTAGAAGGACCATGGAAACCATTTCCTGTGATATGAGCTTGTAATGGCCAGTCATGGTTTGTCATATTCACCTGAAAGTATATATTACTTATTTGTCTACCTATGCTTAAAATTACATCATGCAATGTTAGTTATATTATCAAGGTATGAAAAAAAAAATCCTCTAAATAAAATTCCCTCATCAAATTTGTACAAACTGACTAGAGGTATTCAGGAATGATATACATGAATAATGCATCTCAGCAATTTTTAATAATTAAACAAAGTTTTCATAATTTACATGAACTGTATAAAAACAGATAAATATAAAAACTTAATTCAATTTACTAAAGTTATGGGCTTGGAATATGGCATAAAATAAAAGTTGCATAATTATCACTTTATAAATACAATGACAATTTTGCTATTTTGTTTTTCCTCTATTCAAATGAAATCAAACTATATCATACCAGTGGTATTTCCTGTGTAACATTTTGATGTACTGGTGAAGTAAAGTTGATTTCAGCAGTGCTGCCCTCTGGGTTTACTGTAGATTCTATCCTGAATACTCTAACATCGTCAGTACCTCGCAGAATTATCTCACACGGGTAGTGACCAGGATCCTCAGCATAAAATTTCACAGGAATTTCAATCTGTCCATGCCTGTTTGGTGATGCTGTAACATAGAAATTCAGTTATTACATTACCCTCTATATACTTGCAGCAATTATGACTTACCAATGCCAGCAGGATAGAGCTAGGCTAAGTTGGGTATTCACAATGTCTGGCCAGAGTTTTTAATATTAACTGCTAAAACTTAGTAGTTAAATATTAAAATGCTTTAATTAACAAAGGACAATTCCAAAATCAAAGCACTTGCCATAGGAAGTTTTATTAAAACATTCAAGTTAATAATTAACTTTATATTAAACAGAACCTGTTTCACCAAAGTTCAAAGATTTAGCCTCAAAATTGTTAAGAATAATAAAGGTATAAATTTCTATCTGACAGACAAAAATATATACATGTATAGTCCTTGAGATTGGTGTGAAATATAGCCCATATTCTTATATTGCCAGACACTATATTGTTTATGACAGAGGTTTAAAATAGTGTATCATATTTATATATTTTCATTACCTATATAGACATTCTTGCCAGTTGGTGCACTCTGTGACCTTTCACCTGATGGAGGAATAAACAATTTATCTGGCAGTTTGTAATGACTGGAATCTACCTCAACTCTGTATGTCTGTCCACGAGGTCCTCGTTCCTAAAATGAGCACTTCCTATGTTACATCTATAAATGATTTTATAACTGAATGTATCACTGATAAATCAAATGTTACACTGCATCACAAACATTACAAATATACTTTCTGTTGTGCTGTACCCATAGCCAACCATTACTGAGATAATGGAGTATATAAAGTTGTGCGGTAATTATTTTATATGTAATGTGTGAAGACTATAATTACAACACTGAACACAAAACTTAAAACAACCTGTATTTTTTTCCTGTAAATCATTCAAAATGCTGTGATTTAGCTTCCAACACAATCAAAATTAAATGAATTCATAAAACTAAAAGATTGTGGTTGTATTTATAAATCTTATCACTGTTGAATATGAAAGAATTTGAGTAAAGAATGTTTATAAAAACATCTAGAAAAGTGCAAAACATGCAATGTTTACTAAGGTATTTTCTACAAATAATTAAATCATGCATTTAAACTACAGACAATTCTAATAAAGTACCATTCTTACTTTAGCCTTCTTGATGGCAGTTTGAGGATCGCTAGATAATTTCGTGATAGTTTGTGCAGCCACATTGCTACAGTGCAGTGTGCCCGTGGCAACACGACGTGAAAACTCTATGTCTGTCATATGCTGCAAATAACACAACAACACACATGTGCACTACCTACACCTGATATACGTGCATACATAAATATACATACAAAATGATACAAGTGCAAAATAGAATACAATCAGGCTTACAACATCAATTGTAAAACAACACTGATATACATGTATATAATCACAGTCATCGAACACAAAATAATAAAAAGTGTGAGGTTATACAAATTATATCTTTCAATTATTAAGAATAAGAGTGAAAAAGAAGTTTAAAGTGCTGGTTATTTTGACTTTTTTCTAAAAAGGCAATCTAAAGTATTACAGTCAAACATACCTTTACACTAAATTCAGTTTTACTTTAGAAACTTTCACTGACTTAATGATAACAATTCACATGATACATGTATATATAACTAACACATAAATACATTTGTGCGTCATGACAAAACCAACATAATGCGTTTGCGACCAGCATGGACCCCGACCAGCCTGCGCATCTGCGCAGTCTGATCAGGATCCATGCTGTTCGCTATCATTTTCTCTACTTGTAATAGGGTTGGTAAGTGAACAGCATGGATCCTGATCAGACTGCGCGGATGCGCAGGCTGGTCTGGTTCCATGCTGGTCGCAAACGCATTATGTTGGTCATGACGTTGCCCATATCAGAGAGTTTTGTAAGATATCAAATAGTGAACCAACCTGTTGTGAAGCCATCAAGAGAGCTTTTTCTCGTGCTTGGTTACTAAATGGTACAGTTAGATATTCCTGTAACTCCTGACCTGCCTCACATTTCCAGTATACCACACGATCATCACCTCCAAATAAACCCTTTCCTGTACCTATAATACAAACATATACATGCTATATATTTACTTGTGGAAAAAAATATATAATATTGATTTCAGTTAAAAGACTTACAGTCATAAAGACTGTTCCTTCAATTGCATTTTGAGGTTATGTATAATCAAAGTGACTACAGCAAAAGACCTTTACCCTTTTGCTAAAAAAAACAACACTTTTATTGTACTATAAAAGGTGTTTTCTCTGATATGAGAATGTTATCCTGAAAATTCAGTTAGCTTAAAAAGTAAGTTATTTTATCAATAAGTAGAACAGACTGTATTTTGAGAGCATGCGCAGACTTTCATCTACTTATTACCGTATATAAAGCTTCAATGTTTCCACATGGCCTTACTGGTTTTGATGTGACTTTATACTACAAGAACTTGAATTCAAAAATCTAAAATACAATATTCAAAAATGAAATATTATTAAAACTTTAAAGCCTTGTGAATCATTTTACCTGCAGCAGCAGCACTGCTTATTCTAACACTATGTGTTGTTTTCACAAATGGAACAACATCAGGAAGTGGCATGGTTGACTTCGCCTCAATAGAATACAGGAACTCTCCCACTTCCTCATTCAGGAAGATCACAGAACACTGACGCTCTCCTACATTGAAGGGTAGGAAGTGAATCTCAATAGTTGTACTGGAGTTAGCATCCAGGTAAACACTGGATATTGGACTGTAGAAAGCACTCATCATATTTTCATCATCTGAAAAAAAGGGTTAAAATTGTATTGTAACTGTTGTTTAAAATAATAAACATTACCAGACAGATTTTTTTTTTCCAAACTGCATCGACATTCATATGTAGAGAAAAATCTTAATATTATATGTTATTTTGGTTTTGGAGTGATATATGTGGATATATTACCTGTTAAGATTTTATATCAACCGAGCCGTTAGGCGAGGGTGATATTTTATCTTGGCAGGTAATATATCCACATATATCACTCCAAAACAAAAATAATAATTTTATTACCCTTCCCCTGCCGAGTTTAGACGATTTTTTAAAAAATCATTGCTGTTTCAAATGAAACGTCGAAATAAGATTCCCTTAAGGATACCTCTTCGTCACAACATGACGTCACATAAATACATGATGTATTTTTCCCGTACCTTACGAAAGTAAACAAGAGAAAAGGAGTAGTCTGTTGAACGCACTTTTTTGTCATTAATATCAAGCTTTCACAAAGTCATATTTGTTTTCGATACTGATGGTTATATGTATCATTACTCTACTTTGGTAAATATTTATCATTTGACAGTTAAAAAGTGCTTTTAAATCGGAATTTACACCGCGTAAAATCGAACCGTATGCGCATCACCTCAGCGCATATTGTTTACAACGTTGGGTACCAAACGAGAATTTAGTGTGTATATTACCCGTCTGGCTCGGTTATATCAATTTCTTTCGGGTGATCAATATCCAATCAAAAAGGCGGAAAAAATCTGGAAGGGTAATAATAGCCTTGTATCTATGGCAAAAATGTCATGTTTATAACAACACATTATATATAAGACATCTGTTAAGAGTGTTAAATTTAGACTGAAATATCTTCAATGAATCTTTTAACACATTCATCAATACAGCAATAAAAATTTGGGAAATTTTTGAAGAAAAAAATTCTTTATAAATATTTACCATCTTTCTGCATCTGTAGAGTGTCCGAGATCTTCGGGGGAGGTGAGGGCGGAGTCTCAGGTCTTACAATACCTGAATCAATCTTTGACTTGATCCTTTTCTTCTTTCTCTCTCTACGTTTCAGTATTGCAGAGTTCTTGCTAGGATCCAGCAAGGCGCCACTTGCCTCCACCAGTACAATCCTAAACTCTCCAGATTCACTGAATGGGTTTGTAACCTCGAGGGTAATCTTCTCAAGCTCATAGCAGGGAGACTCACACTTGATTACTTTCTGTAATTACAATTATATATCTACCATAAAACAGTGTCAAAATTCTTGTATATTCTGTTAAAAATTTATTCCATCTGCAAAGAATTTCATATTCTTTTATTCCATCTGTAGGAAGTTTCATATATTTATTCTGAGGAAAGTTTCATATATATTCATTTTATATAGAAAAATACCTTATATCCATGTTTGTCAGGAAAAGAGTAATAAAGAATTCTAATGAATATATGAAGTATCTTAGTTCATTGGAATATGATAATGAGTAAAAGAGAAAGGACTCAATGAAATTATAACACAAATATGAGTATTAAACATTTTTTTAATGCCAAGTATAAGTTTATCACAAAATAGTATATTCAATTAACATTAAGGGGACTATTTATCAATGACCATTTTATTATGTTAAAGGAGAAAATTTTCGACAAAACATTATCTCACTATCAACATCTTCCTTATGATTTAATTTTTTTTATAGAATATATCATTGTAAAGCAATGTTACATATTTAGGTAACATCCATATCTTCATATAAAATAAGCAAGATTAATTGTCATTAATATTTTACACTTGAAATATATGAACACAGTATGCTGCATTCCATTTAGCAACTATTTTTTGATCTATTTACACTAAACTCATTTATCCAAAACAAAACAAAAATACAGAACATTTCTACAAGTATATTCACAACATTAACATTTATACACTTTTATCCTATAACACATAGTATTATCAAAATATTTGTTGTCTACAAAAGTAACAGAACATGTAACCCTGCCATTAGCAAACACTGAAAATAACCTACATATACATAAATTAATCTCTTTTTTTCCACCAGTTATTTTAAAACTATTTTTCTAAAAGCATAAGTCTTAAAGGTAATCAAATATTGACTATTCTCAATTTTTAGTTTAAGCCTTAGATGAGATTAGATAAAATTCTTGCTCAACCAAATTCAAAATGAGCTATCATAGTAATATAGGTGTAGAGATTATCAAAATAGTTTTTGAAATATGACAATAATTTATTTAAACTTATAAATGTAACTGGTGAAATAAAAAAATATACATGAACTAATCATGGCACAAAGAACAGATTTTACCTCTGGGTCTTTAAATTTCTGAAATTCATGTTATTGCAGTGCAGAAGCTAGTTTTGTTATCAAAATGAAATCAATGCTGCATTATATTAAGTACATAAAATGCACAGCTTTTCATGTTTTTGATAAAGATTAAAAGCATAATGTTCACATTCGACATCTTAACATTACATTGTTTTATCAAGCATAACTGGAAGACAGACTGCATGTAGAAATTATGCATATAACTTCTTGACAAGAGAGCTGCACTGAAGACCAAGTAAAAGAAAACAAACAGAAGACTTACAGACATAGAAACTGATACAGCAGACAGATTTACAGACAAAAAAAGGCAAAAACCAGACTTATACATGTATAATGTCTACATTTGGAAATATACACAGAATATTGTATGGTTGTGCTATTCTGTAGACTTGTATTACTCAGAAGGATTATCTGAATTTCCATCAAATAACTTTTGGTATATAATAAAAATGTGTTTCATGACTGTCAAACATACAGTGACAAATATATCATTATAAGATATTCATAAACATAATTCTTAAACTTGTCCATCTTTCTGTCCAGACAAAACCATTCATCATTTTGTATAAAGTTCAGGGAAGAAATGTGTGTTCTTTACAATTTTAGATTAGAAATGGTGCTCTTTCTATGAGAGATAAAATGAATATAATATATTGGTTTTGGTTCAACACTAACATACCCTTCTTCATATGTGAACATTTAATGAGATCATACATGTAAGTGAGTGATAGAAAAATACATCTAAATTTTAAATGAATTGTTAAAAATAGATGTAAAACATTTCTTACCTTTGGAGCAATATTTTCCACCTGTGTACACAAGCTGAAAGTGAGTGTTGATCCGATGGCAGACCCCTGTCTACGTCCAACTAAGACCAGAATAGCCTCAGCTGGTCTCAGGAACCTGCTAGTAAACTCTACACCCAGGGGTAATGTAGACTTGGGTGGGATAGATACAAAGTCACCCTTTGGAACTCGAAAGTCTCTGGCATCATGGCCTGCTAGCAGAATTTGGTATACCAATGGTTTTCCACTTGGATTGCTCAATTTCACCTGAAGTAAAGTTTAAGAAAACATCAATGTCATGTATAGTTTATAAAGATTTCATATTTTTATCAAGCTTTTCCTATGTCATTTTTACATTATCATACCTTAATGCATTTATGTTTAACTTGACTAAGATTGTACAACTACATACTTATATATATTCAAAGTTCCAAAAAAGAAATGAAACTCAGGAAATTTCTAAGCAAAAGTTTAAAAATGAAAGGATATCCATTTTCTACAAGTAATAGCTTCATTACAGTTCCATGTTTTTCAATTAATTGTAGGAGACTGATAACTGATTCAAAGTCAACCAAATTAGGGGAATTTGATATAAGATTTACTGAGGTTAATTTTATTATTGTAATTTTTATACAAATTGTTACCTGTCTTGATACTGTATAATGAAGTGGTCCCGAGAATTCTACCGTAGCTTTAGGAAGGTATTGTGGCAGGCGCTGGTATAGATGAGTACACAATAGCAGCAGTGCTATGGGGTTTGGATCAGTAATGTCTATAGCCTGGATGTCATAGTCTATACCAGCATATCTCATAGCATTGGTCACCTTGAGAGCATTATGTAAACATTGTTCTGCTGATGCTGGTCTAGTGTACATGTCCTCAAGATGTGTCTTTATCTAAAATAACAAAAGTGTTAAAAAATAATCTTTTGATTATCAATATTTTGCATGGTTTGATTTTAAAAAGCACTTTTCTTTATATCAAAACCATTCAGAAAATTACATCAATACTATCATTATTATGATTATTCTGTATAAGTCCACATAGTTCAATTTCAATAGTGTTTGAAGACCAGCAGATCCTGATGCACAATTTCATATTTTGACAGCTATTGACATGAAAGGCCACCGAGTAGCTTCCCTTCCAGGATTCAAAAAATCAAACATAAGGAGTAATATTCTTATAATGAAAATTATAAATGAATATAGACTGGAGAAATCAGGCAGCAGAAAGTAGAATTAACTCACCAAGAAAGGCATATGAGCTCCTAGTACAGCCCCTAATACCAAACCATCCAGCAAATCAAAGTCATAGTTGACAATCCACCTTGCAGGAGGAACTCCACCTAAAATAGGAACCATTCAACTTAGTCTGTCATACTTATACTATGATCTACATGTCTACATTTGTTTCCCTAAAACAAACTAATAATAAAAACACACTCTAATGACCTTTAAGTCTTATAAACTGTAAAATGATTATTAAATTAGAAATTACTAGAAATGCCTTTAAAAAGTATATTTATATAGAAGAGTACATTTTGGTATGTGAAAATAATGGAAAGGGAGGTAATAAATTAACCTTAAGGGAGTTAATAAGTAAAAATATAACTTACCTTTTTCACAGTTGGCCCACACTTTCTGCCTGTAATGTTCATAATGATGGTTGAGCCAGGCCAGTACAATTCTCTCTCCCATGTTGTATATGTTACTACTAAATGGATCAGGGTTTATCTCTGGCATACTAATGTTCTTGTCAGGGGATGGGGTATTCTTCAATGTTCTTGGTGTGACCTTGGCCAGGACAAGGGTCTGTTAATAAAATAAAATAAAATGTTTCACAGTCTTAATCTAAGATATTTAGATAATATTCCAAAAATATAAGACAAAATCAAAATTTTGTCTTTTTTTGCCTTTTATTTTTAAGTGTAATACCTGCAAGTTGTTAGGATTCACTAATATGAAATTGTTTAAAAAAGCAATTATCTGAATAAGATTTTCTGCATTTACTTGGAAGAATAACTTTGATTCATATTTATGTTTCATTCAACAATTTTCACATAAGAAATTCACATTTAATTATTTAAGATAATTATATATTGAAAGATGACCTTGAGTATTTGTAGAAGTATATCAGTCCATGCACGTTTAGATACAGCTTCAAACACGTCATCTTCTAACTCCTCCTCTATAACGTATGCTGCTGCCTGCTCAAAGTCACCTTTACGTTCCAACTCTAACCTAAACTCAGCCTGAATCTGCTTCCAGAGGTGATAGTCACGGGGATCCATCAGGTACTCCGGTTTCACTGAGGCAACACATGCACCCTGACATCTAATATGATAAAATAAAGCATTTAGGGTTGTATTAATTGGAAAAAAAAGATACCCTTAATAAGCAAATATATGTTTTTAAGCATAAATCTAAAATAAAATAAAACAATGCCACAGACAAAACAGTTTCCATCAATGTTAATCAATTAATAGTACATGGAATTTTCAATTATTAAATTGCATAAAAATGGTCCTCAAAATGACTTTAGACTCAGAATTGTGAATGAAGATGTACTTTCATGAATTACAGACATCAAATATAAAAACATACCTCAAGAATGTAAGCAATGTTGAATGCTGCCAGAATATTTGTTTAACTCTTTCCACCGGGTCTGACGGTAGGTGACCATTCAGTGGAATACCTGGCACAGGTCTGCCAGCCAGGTTACTGATCATGTCATAGATGGTCTTGAACTCTTTCTTCAAGTTATTTGTGTCCCAACTACCTGCCTTGGGTCCTTTCTCCTCTTCCACAGGTTTACGACTGATACCACTGTAAATACCATGTAATGAGGCATCAATCAATGTTAACTATAATTGATCTTTATTTTGTATAACTATAAATACTTGGACATTGATCAGTTTATGTTGATTTGATGAAATAAAATTGTATATGAAGTTAAATACATTGTACAGTATATATATAGCTAATGGTATACTTCATAAAAATCAAACCTATGTGACTTAACAATGTAATATTTAGGTATACTGTACAATATACTTGTGAGCAGAAGTCAAGTTGTTAAGGTGTCTGCTTCTCAACCAAGGGATCATGGGTTTGAGCCCTACAGACCTCACCAACATGTTTCCACACATGACACCAACACTTGTTATTAAATTCCAGCATTTGGACTCAAGACAGGTTCAAATAAGCTAAAATCTTTCTTTACAATCAAAGTTAAAATGCATAATGTTAAACTAAGGACTTTATACACTGTTACATGACTAACCAAAACCTATGTTAAATCAGCAGCTTAAGTGGGTAAAACTTAAAACGAATATTGATATCTTTTTTAATATTTTGATGAATAACAGATTAATGAAATATTATTTTCTAGTGTATCAACTCACTACTTGGTGCTGTGTGTATACTTAAAGCTGACTTTTTCATGCATTAACAAACTTTTGACATAGATACAATACTGTAGATAATTAAACAAAATACATCTTCAATACAATAACTGTGTTATGATGAATATATTTAATCGAAAAATAACTATCTAGTAAAGTGTTCAGTACAATAAAGTGACAATGAAGCATAATCTACTAATATAATACTACATATAACATAACAGTCATGACAGCTTTTAACTATATGTATTTATTGATAGTCGGAGACAACTTCATTTATGTCATTGCTGCTTAGTTATTAAAGCTCCATGTTTATCATTCAGGTAATTTTAATTAATTGCAACCTTTCCTTTATGTTAATTTATTCTGTGGTTCAACAGCCAATCAGAGAACATAGACCTAAATATTGAAACAAAATAGAACATACCAACTTACAAACTGTAAACAGCTTTAGATCTGATTATTTGTTTGTATTATACAGAATATTTCAATGGTTTGCCAAAAAAAACCATTGTGGATTATGGAGAATTATAAATTATCAAATTGCAAACACCAGAAACAACAAATCTATGGCAGTATGGAGTCTGACCAAACAGCACAAACATTGGCCATAACAAAATACAGTAAAAAATGGTCCTAAATTTATAACAGGCTTTAGGCAAAAAGTTAAATCATTATCTCTACCATCAGTTATCATATATGTAAGTAAATGGTGTGAATGTGAAACAAAACAAGTCCTGAAATCAGAACTCTGAACTAACTGAACAAACAATATCAGGTACTGAACTAACTAGGAAGCACAAGTTGTGCAGTATAACAGCTGGATGTATCAACAAGCTATAAACAATGGTACATTAGTTTACCTTTCTTCCAGAGTGGAACATAAACCCCTAATAAATCATAAACGTCATGTGTATACTGCACTTAGATTAGTTTAAACTAAATGTTCAACAACTGATTATATAATTTGCAAACATTATATTATACATGTGTACCAAAAGTAACATTTCTTAAGGTTTTTAGAAAATAAATGACTTTACACTAATTATCAAAGGAAAATTTTAACACATTGTCTTAGATTTGTGTTTCTAAAAATAAACAAAAATACAACTTGCCTATTGGTTATTAAAGACATGATGTAAATTATAAGTTCATTTTATCTATCATTCTATATTGCATGTTATGTTGAACTTACATTCTTAGAGAATGAGGTATGGTGATAGGGAATGGTCCCCCAGGCCAACCCTGGGCAGAGAACCATCTCTGTACAGCCAATAACACCTCCATGTGGAAGATGCCTTCTTCAGAATCTTCATCTGGAAACATGGCTGACCCTAATGACCTTGATGCAAGGTCATTCTGGCGGGAAACAACTTGATGGTCTGAGCCAGATGGTGGCTTGTTTTTGGCTCCATCTCTATTTACTGGTGTGCTTCCATCTGTGGAGTCTAAATTCATGAAAATACAACATATCAAAATTAAGTAACATGTGGTTCTTATATGAATAAACGTAAAATTCATGAAATGAAGTTATTTAACAAATTGCATAAAAAAATGTACTACAGCTGACTGATCACAGAAAAATCAAGTCTAAAGTTCATGAATTATTAGAATGGATGTTCAATACTAACTTGAAGCAGCCGACAATGTTTTCTAGATCGTATAAAGTACATACCAGTTGTACTCTCAGATGACTCATAACTAGATGAGGAGACCTGGAAATTGGAGCTGGTAGCACTAGTGCTTGGTCTGCTGGCCTGGTTCGGGGTCTGGCATGGTATGAATACAGCCTCACCTAGGTTGTTTATGCTCTCCTTAGAGATGGTCTTCTGACCTTTAGGTGTGGAACCCTGAATAAAAAACCAATGTAAAAAATAACACTGAATGTGACAAGATCTTGAGTAGTTTTTTTTATTAAATAAAAAAATTATTTACTACATTTACTACTATTTTATTACATAAAAAAACTTCTGAGCTTTAAAAATACATTTCAGGCCAATATAAATTATTTGATCAAATTCAGAGTAAAATTCTAAACATTCAAAATCTTTTCTATAAAAACATACAATCAGTGCCATGCCTTTGAATGCCTTCACTTTATTAGGTTTCATTTTATTGAAGAAAAAGTACATGATAAAATATTTCCTAGAACATATTCCCTATTAGACATTTAAAACCTACATTGATATAACAACACAAACACAAGAAGACATTACCTGTTCACAGACAATCTGATGATCTGTTCTATGTAGAGCTAGGAAAGGATAACATGTCATCAGGCAATTATCAGCTGTTGCTGTAACCATCAGCTTGAATGGTTTCTTACAACCATCAAATGTAAAGATAACATTCTCAGCAAAAGAGACTGGTTTAGGGCTAGCAAATGTGATCTTACAAGGGAGGCTGAATGGTTCTATCTGTCCCTCATCACCACAACATGGCTTCACCTCTAGAAAAATAAGTTGTCACTTACAATAAATAAACAAGTACAACATTCATATATGTTAAACAACAAACTTATACTAAACTGAATAACCAAATTTTTGAAGCCAAAGGGAGAAGAAGAAAAAGTTAAAAACAGAAATACTGGAACCAAACCCTGTCTCAGTTTGGTCCACTTCCTACCAACTTGACAATTACTCAACAGTTAAGTATTTACTGACCTTGACTTTCTGGGAAAGTGACCTTGAGTGGTGAAATCTTAGTGCCATCCTCACATTCAATTGTTGGTGTTTCCACGATGATTTTTGTTTGACTGAAATAAAAATGCAATATCTTCTTTATCTTCAATATCATTGTTCTTTAAAATGAAATATTTTAAACATGTAATTCATTGTGTTACCATCTTATGTCTGGAATAATATATTCAATAGTCTATTAATGTTAATAGATAACTCTTGTGACATAGGCAGTCCAGGGCTTCAAAGCTTAATGTGATTTTTCTAACCTATATGGAACAAAAAGGGACATACCACAGTTAAAACTGATCTTTCAGTTCAATTTCCTGTATAAATGTCACGAAAGTCTTACAATGAAATATATATACAAAGCTTACTTTCTGAACTGTGCAGCAAACATGATAAACTCTGAGCTAACTTCTGTATGTAATGGAACTGGTGTTAGCACTATGGCTAGAGGATCAAACCAAAGCTTGGGTGCCTTAAGTTCTGCTACAACCTGAAGGTACTGATATGGTTTCTCATAGTTGTCATTCAGGATAACTGGAAGCAGGACTTCATACCTGCCAGGCTCCTCTGTAAATAAACAGATAAATAAATTCATTTAACCTGGGTTTATTTGCGACATTTTGTAAGCAATAAATATAGAGAAATATTTTAACCAACTTTCCTTTTATTGGCAAGCTTTCAAAGACATCCATCCATTTAATTAACATATCATATCTAAAGCAAATTTGTTGCAAATATTGAAAATCTCATAATTCATTAAAAATCATGCTGTAATATCAGGTGCAAAGAGCAAAAATACAATAGTTTATTATCTAAACAAGTAAAATACACCTTTCTACTGAAATTGTATGTGACATGCATATGTTTCAAAGAAAAATGACTTTAACTGCTGGCACAATGACCTTTTCAGTAGAAACAGCAGACAATTTTTTTATTAAGGGGAGAAAACTTACTAGGGCAAAACATAACAGCAACTTGTTGTGTCTCCCCTGGTTTCAGATCACCTTCAATACCCTTTGTTTCTTCCCCTGTTGGGTTGGTGAATGGTGCTCCAGACGGGTGAATGAATTTAAATATTCCATCCACAAGAGCTGGGTTATTACTCCTCAGATCTATTCCCCATTTTATACTGCAGTCACTGTTGTTAACAAATATAGTGCCCTGTAATAAGATAACAGTTTATCAATAAAAGCAAGAAAGATATCTACACAATATGCATAAATATACAAAAACCTACAGCAGCAAACACCATTCAGATTTTGTTAATTTACTTTCCAACCTTTGTTTAACTTTAGTTTTAATCTAATAATTTTTCTATGAGGGAGATAAACTACCCGAGAAGGGTTTGTTGAAAAGTCTATACCTTTAATAACATAATACTATGTATATTCTTGCCATCAAAGGACAAATATGAGACATGTTAAACTATCTTAATACAAGTTATGTTTGTCTAATTAAACAGAATCTTACTTTAGATTGCATCTGTCCTGTTTGTATTGTTGTATCATAGAATGATGCTGGTGCAAACATCTCTATCTTGTTGGTAGACAGCTGCAGTGGTTGTCTTAGCGCTGTTGCTATCACATGCTTCCTGGGTGTAAGCACCGTGTACGGCTGTGGTTTGGGGTTTATGATGTGCTGCAGGCTATTCTTGTTTGACGGGGCAGGGGTTGGAGGAAATGGGGTGGGGGCAGGAGATGGTGCCCCTGTGTGATTGATAATTGTTGGCAATTCAAAGTCATATGCAGCAACCTATTTTTAGAGAGAGAAAATAAAAACAACATTTATACAATGTATACATAAACAATATGCAACAAAACTGTCCTGCCTCTTCACAAAACATATACAAGTAATAATGGTTTGCAAAACTTTTCAGAACATAACGCATTAAACTTTACAAGAGAATTTTTTAAACAAGCATAGAAACATTTCCAAGAAAAACTTATAAGTACATTGTATATAAAGCTTTACATTAAACATTAAACTGTCTTAATTCATATCATCCTATAAGATAATACTTTTCTATGTAGTTTTCTCAAGAAACTGTCCTCGACAAATAGTAAGAATAGGATGCTGTTATCAACAACATTATCTTTCACTCAAGATATGTGTCATTCACAAACTAGTTAATTAGCAAACATGACCTTCTTTAACCCCGACAATGTTAAATATCTTAAATGGATATGTCCATCTTTCAATCTGGGCAAAACCATTATTCATTTTTAGGGAAAATAACAAAATATACACTGAATGAATAGCAAACAGTGCAGACCATGATCAGACTGCACAGATGGTGTCGGCTGATCTTGGTTGGCACTGGTTGCATGAGTAGAACCTATTGCTGACAGCAGGCTGGGGGTCAAAAGGTAAGTGCTGATCAACTCAAAATAAAATGATGTAATATTTACCTCAGTTGGCATGAAAATAAGTTCCCCTTCGACAGTTTCACTTGGTTGTAGAGTTATAGAGAACATGCCTGGGTTTAATACTTGAAATGTATAGTCCTCTGTAATATAATAACATATATTTCATGAATATTTTATTGGAATTGCCATTCTGTGCTGAAAATAAGATATTATATTTCAAAAGTACACTTTATTGCTCTGTTTTAATAATAAACATGAAATTTACTCATAAAATTGTTAATTTTCGTGGTTATTAATGTGTTTGGTAATTAAAGGTAAACAAAAAAAAGGTAATAAAATATACAAACCCTGAGTTTGGTATCCAGGAAAGTTGAGGTTAAAATCTTTATATCTTGATAAATCAAACTCCAGCTTTGCCTTTGTCAACATCTAAATGAAAAGAAATAATCTTAAATGATTCCTCCTGAATATTACAGTCATTATAATATTCATGAATAGCATTACAAAATGTTCATTAAACTTATGATATAATTAAAGGTTATAAATTTAAACTAAACAATACACTAAAATAATACATACCCTATTGATGAGTTTAAATGTGATGGTTGACCCAGAACCACAGTATACTCCTCCAAAATTGAAACTTGGCTGAAAATATAAATTATATAATCAATTAAAGACTACTTTATTATAAACAGAGAAAACTTTTTTTGCAAACGCTTAAAAAAATAACGTTGTATTATTTTAATTATTTGGTAACATGAATCTTTTTCAATGATAAGTAACTTACAGCTTATAATTTCTTAGATATTTCATCACTTACTTTGATATTCTGTGAATTAAATTCAATTGAAAAGTAAAAAAGAACAAGTGATGAAATCTACCCTAAACTTTTCAACAAAACTTTATCCAGCAATCCTGAATAGCAAATCTTTATTCCAAATTGATCTCCAGTGTTATCAGTTATGATTTTGTTTACAGTATTTAGACTGCTAATGGACTGAATCTACCCTAGCAACCAGTGCACATCCATGCTGTCTGATCACAGTCTGCACTGTTCACTATTCAGTCAGTACTTATTTTAAATAATTTCCCTAAAAATGATGAATGGTTTTGTCCAGATTGAAAGATGGACAGGTTCATTTAATATATTTAGGGTGGTAAGGATTAAACAAACCTACCAGATCAATATCTACTGTTGGCGGTTCAACAGTTCCACCCATCCTCAGCTCAAGGTTCTTTCCTCCCTTAATCGCAACTTGAACCCGGGTATCAAACTTCAGTATAGCATCAGGTGTTAGCTTAACCTGTAATTCAGCATGCCCGCCTACAGGGACTACACCATGTAGTGGGCTCACCTGTAATCCTGGGAATGGGTTTGGATCATTCACCTAAAATATATTCAAGAACTGTTAACTGACAAGAAAAGGCTGAGATTGATTTGTTTTGGTATTAACTTGTTTAATCTATCAGATTTCTAGTAAGGAACAAATACCTATTTACTAAATCATTCACCCCTCTGGGACACCCTTTACCAACCCAACAGGGGAAGAGATTATGAAACAATGAAACTGGGAAGCAATTTAAAATTTGGGGAAAATTTCAATACTTCTGAAAACACTTCTTTAAGCAAAGAATGGCAAGATTAAGTGCAGGCAACAGCTGTCAAACTTTATCAACTTACCTGGAAGTATGCATGATTCTGTCCAATGTTTGCCAGAAGTACATTTCTGGTTGTGCACAGATTAACTGGTACCTGTCCAAACATAATCCTTCTCTCAACAAACTGTACATTGGTTGTTCCAAGCTGAAAATTTAATTTATTAAATTTTAAGAATCAACAAGAAAATATTGTAATTTAAGTTGACTACATTTATTCTGACAAACAAATATGAAAGTTCACAAAAATTTACTATTTTCAGTATGTTTTTTTTAACAGGTTTAAAACAAATTGAACCCCTTATAGTCAATTATGATGTCAACAGTTAAAGTTTTTTTTAATAATTGTTGGTCTGTTGTTGTTTTTTTGTGTTTTTTTTTTTCATTTCAAAAAAAGACGAAGATGTTTGCTTCAGAATTGATCTTATACAAGTATGTGAAACATTAAACTTAACTATATTGCATCATACATCTCACCCTGAAAAATTCACTGCTTATTATTAGCAATATCAATGCTTACCTCTGCCTTGCATTTCAGCTGTAACGTACTACCACTGTGAATCATCAGAGAGAAAGAACCATCTTCGGGAGCCAGGAAAGATGGATGCCATACCACCTCACAGTCAAGATCTTTAAATGGATCAACAACACCAGTAGCCGGCCTGATAGAGAATGCCGTTCCCTTCTCTCCTAGGTTAGGTGCCCAGGTAAACTCAGCAGGATAGTTCAATTTGTTATACAAAGTGATGATACCACGGAATCCTGTTAAAAATAAAAACAATCAATAATCTTTATAAGCTAATGGTCTTCATTGTCTAGTACAATGCAAAACAAGCAAGTGACCACTTTTTTACTGAAAATAAACTGAAAATTACTTTTAGATTTTTTTAAGAAAGTCATTCATCATTATAAATAATTTCTTAATATTATAAAGCTAAAGATCTCACCAGCATCACTGGGTAGACCAAATGATGGTTTAAGGACCAATTCATCAGTGGAAAGTTCCAAGGCAACAGGTACAACCTCGGCTAGAACGGTCACATGATGCTTGTGGTAGTTGTTAACTGTGTAAGTCACTGACCTGTATAATAGATAAAATATACTTGAACAAAATATCAAAATGTTTTTAAAAAAATAATGGCATAAAGTTTTCTTCTTTATAATATGTATAGACAAGTTATGCATTATTTTTTCATCAAAAACAATGACAATCCAAAGGCCTTCACAAGCTTGAAAATTGCTGTCAGATTATGTACCTTTCATAAAAAATGTGTCTCAATCTAAGATTTTTGTCATAGTATAACACAAATACATAATACAGATAACTTGAAATAAAAAAAACTGTACCTCTGGAACTTCTGTTTCTGGTTAGATTCAAAGATAATAGGAATATTGGCTTTGGATTTTGGAGGAACCACCTGTGATAGAGGGCTGCTTTGTCTTAGTTCTCTACAGTCAATCTGAAATTATAACTTAACAAGTTTAAAATAGAATAAAATCAATAATGATATAACAAAAAATTGTCACCAAGGTGTCAAAAGGGTTCAACAATATGAAACCTTTGATAAAGCTGAATAAAAAAGTGGAAACTAGAAATGTGTCCACGGGTGCCACCCCCCCCCCCCCCCCCCCCCGCGCCACTGTTCTGTCAATCTTTTTACAAAGTCAAGGGAAATAACTCTACAAATACTGGATAAATCCACAAGCGAAACCCCAGGTGCAAATCTAAATATGCTGAGCAACCTGCCCATAAGGTTTAATGACTATGTCAAATCCTTTTTGAGTAACTTGCGACACAAGTTGAAAATTGCAAAAATTTTCTAAGTCAAGGGCAATAACTCTGATAATACTAAATAAATCCAGACGAAAATACCTGGTGCACAACTGCACATGCTGATCAATATTCCTGTAAAGTTTCATGACTCTAGGTCAAATACTTTTTGAGTTACATGCGACACATGTTAAAAATTGCAAAATTTTACTAAGTCAAGGGCAATAACTCTGAAAATAATAAAAATATCCAGACGAAAATACCCAGGTGCACAACTACACATGCTGATCAACATTCCTGTAAAGTTTCATGACTCTAGGTCAAATACTTTTTGAGTTACATGCGACACATGTTAAAAATTGCAAAATTTTACTAAGTCAAGGGCAATAACTCTGAAAATAATAAAAATATCCAGACGAAAATACCCAGGTGCACAACTACACATGCTGATCAACATTCCTGTAAAGTTTCATGACTCTAGGTCAAATACTTTTTGAGTTACGTGCGACACAAGTTGAAAATTGCAAAATTTTACTAAGTCAAGGGCAATAACTCTGAAAATAATAAAAATATCCAGACGAAAATACCCAGGTGCACAACAACACATGCTGATCAACATTCCTATAAAGTTTCATGACTCTAGGTCAAATACTTTTTGAGTTACATGCGACACAAGTTGAAAATTGCAAAATTTTACTAAGTCAAGGGCAATAACTCTTAAAATACTAAAAATATCCAGACGAAAATACCCAGGTGCACAACTACACATGCTGATCAAGATTCCTGTAAAGTTTCATGACTCTAGGTCAAATACTTTTTGAGTTACATGCGACACAAGTTGAAAACTGCAAAATTTTACAAAGTCAAGAGCAATAACTCTGAAAATACTAAATATATCCACATGAAAATACCCAGGTGCACAACTACACATGCTGATCAACATTCCTGTAAAGTTTCATGACTCTAGGTCAAATACTTTTTGAGTTACGTGCGACACAAGTTGAAAATTGCAAAATTTTACTAAGTCAAGGGCAATAACTCTGAAAATACTAAAAATATCCAGACGAAAATACCCAGGTGCACAACTACACATGCTGATCAACATTCCTGTAAAGTTTCATGACTTTAGGTCAAATACTTTTTGAGTTACGTGCGACACAAAAGTGAACGGACGGACGGAAGGACGGACAGACAGACGGACAAGGGTAAATCTAAATGCCCTCCACTAACGTGGGGGCACAAAAAGGCAAAGTGACTTAATGAACCTACTCTGTGTTTATTTTGATCTCTAGAACTTCAATCCAATGAAGACTTATGTTTTCAGTTGAGCATATTTGATGCAAAGACTTTATTTTTTAAAATACGTATTAGCACTTTGATATATTGTTTTAAAATAGTGATTATAGAAGAGGACAAAGTGGTTGATAACCTTACCTCTGCCACAACCAGGACATTCTGGTCAAGGTTGTTTACAATCTCCAGATATTTTGTAGAAATTGATCTCAAACATACTGAACCAAAGTCAAGGACTGGAGGACCTACAAACACAAATGGGAATAGACTATAACTTAAAATAATTCCAACAACATGAGATGTATTCATGAAATACATCAGTATCTGCTATAGTTTCAACCATTACATTTTTATTTTCAAGATAAACATCAAAGTGAAAATGGTTGGCTTACCAAGAGATACACCATGCAGATCAACATTCAAAATTAGTAAAAATGACATTATTTTTAGGACTTTTTTATTTACATGATAGTAAAAATGTTACCTATGACAACCAGATGTTGTTCTTGAGGGGAAAGGAATTTAGAACAGTCCATTTTCTCTTTAGGAGTGGTTGGTACAGCATTTAAACCATCTTTAGCCTACAATGAAAAACACAATTAATTGCAAAGTCACTTTATAAAGACATGATTTTTCTTGGATACCTCAGAGGTATTTTTACACGTAAACTGCTAATCAGACAATACACTTAATTCATGTTTAAGTCCAAAAAATATTGTGTTGGTATAGTTTGCATTGATTTACATCATACTTTGTTAATCAGTAGATACACATTTTTGAACATTTCTTAAAGAGAACTTGAATTTTATTGTTGTTGTTCTTTTTTTGTTTTTGTTTTTTTTTTATGGGTTTTACATTGCACTAACACAGTACAGGTCATATGGCAACTTTCCTGGCTGAGGAAGACCTCAGGTGCCCCTCTATTCATTATTTCAGGCAAGAACAGTAGAACAACTCACATTCCGTAAGCTAGCTTGATAACTTCCTCACATGAAAGAATCAAAAGTCCCGGTCAGGATTTGAACCCACAGCAGTGAGGGACATTTATGACCTGAATTCAGCCACAAATTTTAATATTATTTAAAATGCTATGTGCAAAAATGCCTGTGAATCAATGTACTTACAGGTTTACTGGTAACTGACTGCATGGTAGCTGATAGACTTTTACTGCTGAGTAACTTGAAATCTGCATTTGGGGGAGGAGGTGCTATAAAATATAAAAATATCATATAGGTACCATTTCTATATTACAAGAAAATGTTGAAAGCAAAATGGTAGATGATTTATTTATGTCTGATGGAAATGTTTCAATTGTAAAATACCTGTGTACATTTGAAGACAGTTTTAAGTTAACATAGGGTCCAGATTGAAAATCCAGAAACCACAGTCCTGTTTCACTTGACTTTTCCAGGTCAGAAACTCACTTTACATGCATAAAAATAATGATAATAGTAAATGAAATTCTGTGTTAAAAATCTCTTTTCAGGGGAAAGAGAGCATAGATCTAAGTTAGCAATCACACAAAATGAAAATTAATCATTAGCAAATGAGCACTAAATTATCAAAACTACATGAATTAGCAAACATCTGGTGTTTCGTATAACTAATGTAAGATGGAGTGATAAATGAAAATATAATGTGCGCTATAACCAATGGCTAAAATACTGGTGGAATATCATAGTCTTTAAAGCACCTTTTTTCTTGTGTCTGAAGCATTAATTTCTCAGCCGAAGCTAAACAAGTGTTCCAAAATACATATAATATGATACTGATTCATTAAGGCAGAAATTTAAATCATTGTTTTATAGAAATTCTCCTTGCTTTTTTTGTAAAGATTATCTCATTTTGAATTATGAACCTGACTATCTCTACATGTTTGGATAGTCATTTTCAAAATACTTGTATCTAAAGATGTAACAACTTATACAGGTAAATACTGATGGCAAAAGCCTTAAATAATCATCTTTCATTCACAAACAGTTACTACTAAGAAGAACTGCAAACTTTAGTTTTTGATTTTTTTTTATAGAAACACCTGTGAAGGCATGGCCTGTTTTCCTGCAGTCTAATTATCTGTCTCCAAACCAGATACATACATATAGTTATTTACATGTACATGTATATATTTGACTTCAACTTACCAGGGCTATCAGGCTCTATATAAGTATAATGTTTATTTTACAACAATAAAAAATATATGAAAATACTTATAATAAACATAGCTTTATCAAACATGTTTTGATAAAAAATCTGATTAATTGATAAACACATTTTAAGAATCATAATGATTGGTTTAATTTATATTTGTTTGATGACAAAGGAGATCCCTATATGATTATATAGAGAATCTTTGTTTAGTTCAGTGTAAGATCAGGATATATTTCATGAGTGAGCACCAAAAGGTATATTTCACTTGTGGCTGCCCCACTCGTGAAAAATGAGCTTTTGATGTTCACCAGAAGAAATATATTTCCATCTTACACTAAACTAAACAAATTTTCTTTTTATTATATGCAAAGAAGCGTTTAAAAAGACATTTTAACCAAATACTAAATGAAAAGTGTGCAAAGAATAATACAATGTGACGTCATTTATGACATCACATCATTAAGTTGGTTTCCAGTACAGTGTACGCTGGTATTTCACTGTCAAAACAACATACAGTGAAAAATGTCAAATTGATAATTTCACTGTTTCAAACAGTGAAAATCAGTTTTTTATTTCACTGATATATTTCTATAAACCTGAAAAGCATATGTAATAAAACCATATCATCCACCAACAGTAATCCCACAAATTGTGATTATCACATATGTTTTTAAAAACCTTATTTACTCAAACCGATAAAATAATTTAGTTGCAAGATGATGAGATAAGTATTACATGCATAAGTAATGAAACATTTAAGAAATAACTACCTTTAGGATCTGGTTTGATTTCTTCAAGAAGAAGTTTCTTTGGCCGTATACCTGCAGCAGGTTTGATTCCTATATCAGTTGATGTGTTTGTCTCATGAAACTCTCTGTGGAAGGATTGAGGGAAAACAAAATTACATAATGATTCACAAAATGAGCCACAATATTTTATTCAAAGTCCATGTCAAAGTTATGGGCCTTGGACAGATTTTAATCTCAAAAGATATATTTAAAGAAACAAGTGTTTGATGAAAATGAAACTCAACACAAATGTTGTTACCATTTAGTTACACCTATACATGAATAAGCAGGACAGTCTTACTTTTATTGCCTAAAAGGTTGCCCAAGTTTTTCAAAGAAGTAATATATTTAGATGCAAATATTTTTTCATCTACAAAGAATAATAATAGATGTAAAAGACATTACCTTGCTTTTTTCTTATTCACTCTTTTCTCCTTCATATCTCTGATAAGTTGAACATAACTGTCACGGTGCCGCCATTTCTTTACATCATCATCATCTATATGGGCATAATCTGGGTCAATATATGTGTGACGCTTCGTACGTGTAAATATTGTCCTATAACAGTCATTAAAAAATTATTTCAATTTCTATATCAAAGCAGTTAGACATGTAATACTATCTGTATACAGTGTATAAAATATACAGAAAATGTTCATAACTAATTGAAAGAGATACAATCACTGTATGATGAAAATTATAACCATAAAATCATTGAAATGACAAAAAAATAGAATCTTTCAATTGCATTAAATATGTATAAAGATTCTGAATATTTAATTTTGGAATAAAAATATTTTGTTATTTGCAGAAGTGCTCCCTGAAATAATAAATAATCTGTAATCCTCTTTCAAACAGAAAATCTAAATAACATAATTAAAAGTGTACTATTAACACAACAACTGAAAAGTAAAACATAAACACAAAACAAATGTGTTTTACTGAAATATGTGATGTAAAGTCTTAATTCTGGTATATATGCATTCATGAAAATTTTAAAATAATTCATTTTTCAGTAAAATATTTGGCTAAACTAAGACTTTTAGGATGATTCAGTTGTCTTTATTAAACAAATACCTATGTGATATCTTTTTTCAAAAATTGATAAAAATAAATCGAAAAGCAAAAGTCAAAAGAAAAAAAATAACATGTCAAGCTGAGAATATGTGCTAGTACAAGCATGCCTCTATTACCAGTATTAATGTAGAATCTAATGTTCCTCTCTAAATATCAATATAAGGAGATAAAAAAATCAAAATATTTGATTTCAAAATCAATCCTTTCATTTTCTCACTTCTATGTCAGTCAAACATGTTTTACAGTACACATATTTTCTTCAAAGGGGCAAAAACAACAGAGAAAAGATAGTAAACTAGCCAACTAGAGTCTCTAAGTTTTTCTGCATTTGAAAATGACACAAATTTATGCTGCTTTAAATATATTTACTGCATCAATGCTAAATGGTCCCCTTTTGTTAAACTGCAAATATTTTATGCAAATGATAACTATAATATTTTAATCTAAATTTGAAAAAGGGCATAAACTGTAAGAATTATGTTGAAACAAAAATACAAATAGCGGATTAATGCACCTTTCATTTGCGCAGAAGCACAAGGATGCATTTTAAACCTATGTCAGCAGAGCGAGGAATTTAATAAGCCAGAAGGCTTCTGCAGATGTTATTACACAAAACAGGTCTATTAGCGATATTCTTGCTTGAAGGTAAACATTGAAATCAGTAAATCAATATTTTGTTAAATGTATTTTGTACTTAGAAACTAATGCTTGTGCCATGTTTTCCATTTGCTAGTGCAATGTCATTTGACAGTTTTGTTTTAATAATAAAACTACTGGGGCCATTATTGCATTAAGCTGTTTTTACATTGTGCCCCAAGCCACGCAAAATAAACATGCAACAGCGGCCCATGGCCACCAGAATCTATTTGTTAATGCATGTTTTCTTCTCTGTGAATGTATACCTGTGTGTGCAGTTTTAATGCAAGAATAATGATTAAAACCTCATCCAAAAGTCAATGAACAATAACAAATATAAACCCAAAACAGCAAAAGATAATTCACACAATTTGTGCATAAGTTTTACCCATGACTTGGTATAGTGGTTATCTTATCAGAAGTCGTTTTGTATTTATTAAGCAGTTTAACAAGACAGCAAGGGCATCGTAACTGTGTTAACTTCACTTGATCAGGCCATACAAAATCAGCATAGCTATATTTCAGATATAATATATCATTTTATAATTGTAATACCTTACATGAAACATTAGAGAAATGTTGTAACTGAGTTTCATTAATGTTTCATATAACACTTGTATATGATGTAAACTGATATTTTCCATATAATTCTATTTTAATTAAACTGTTTGTGCAAAAACATTAAGTATAAACATTAAATAATAACTATTTGTATAAGATAATGCTGAAATCTATTTAAATTATTCATGTAAGGCTAAAACTGATAGGCTTAACATGTTTGTACAAGTTCATTGAATAACCTGACTGTTTTGTTTTGGCTCGTAAAAATATGTGGCTATATTCCATATTTCACTCAAACGAAAAAATATTCTCTTAATATTTCAGCTCAATTATGAAATCAGTTTTTGCAACTTCAATTAATGCTTTTGTGTTCAATTCCAGGCAAAACCTGTACTTGTTCCATTAGGAAACATGGCTGTGTATTAAATATTGCTCAAACCTAAAATCACTGAGTTGAGAGTCAGGATGACACCTTAAATGTTTGGCCATTCCCCCACCCTTTGCATGCCATTCAATATTCTGTTGAACCCTTAATTTGACTATGCTGTATATAACAGCATATTGATTTATAATATACATCAATAGCTATATGTTTATTTGAATGATTTCTGAAAGGAAGATATAACATACTTGTACTCATCTTTCCTATCACTGGGTCTAATACTGTGTGCTCTGTCATTAGGAAAGGCAACCTTGGTGTTCCAGTCATCTTTGTTTGTAGATCTGGCTAGTTTGTGTAACTTGGTCGTTCTTCCTCCTGCTACAGCGTTCCTTGGTTCATCTCCGAGAGATGAGAATGTTGTATCAACAAACATACCTACTTCATTACTGATGTAAGGTGTTAGGCCTATAATATATCAATCACATGTCTTTCATACATCGTCTAAAACTAATAATATGAACACTACTTATTTCAACTGCACAAAAGCTTATCTAACTTTCAAACTATAAACACTGTTCTTGCATAGCCTGAACCCTGAACTTTTATATGAAGAATTAATAAAGATTCCTTATAAAAGTTTTAGAATGTTTTTCAGTTAAGAAATAACATCAGCCTGAGAGGTGTATATCGGCTATTTTACACCGGTTTGGAGTTTTGATGCCTAGGAATTGACCACGAAGGCCGTATACAAGTAGTCCCTAAACGGTGTTAATTGGCAGTTTAACACCAGTTTTTTTCCTTCTTTGTCTATTAAGTGACAAAATCCTGTGAGTGTTAGAATTAAGCACAAACTACCAATTGATCATATTTATTTATCAAAAAAAACAAAATTTCTATAATTACGTAATAAAAATATATTATCATAAAATGCCAAAATAGTGATATACACATTTCTAGCAGTAATAATCAATTTTGTACCAGGATTATATTTTGGGTTCCTATGTTTGGTTATTGGGTCACTACGGCCCATGAAATGTACAGGCATGGTGTGTATAATCTGTAGATGTGCCAGAGTAGGATTACGATTATCTGCTACATGCCCTATAACATCTATCATCTGCTGCGGCTTGAAGAAACCTGTCATCATAACAAAATATCAGAATAATATATCTTGTTTCTTTTTACCACATGCAAATGTGTACTTACATTGTTCTTGCATGAAAACTAAAAACTAAAATTGAAAATATTGAATTTTTAAAACCAGTTCATGCACTGGTTTTATTAAGACATAAAATAACATAAAATCCCATCAGTTATTACACTGTAACCATACATCATATAATTGTTACCTGACAATAAATAATACTGTGAAGCAGCACTTAAGCTATCTAAATACAGGAAAGCCAGTAAGTATTGCAGAATATATATCTTGTTTTCTTGTAAATTCAATATTTATGACTCACAAAAATAAATACTAATTGATATAAATGTATGCTGAACAAGAAATTTCTACCTGCTTGGTTTGGAGCAAAGGAAAAGATGACATCTTGTGTATCTAGAGGCTGTATCTTGCCATTTGGTGGATGTGCAATGAAATGTGCAATACGCCTGAACTGGTATGTAATAGGTAAAACATCTGAGCTGTTCTTTAATGTACACAGAATATCAGCATGTTCACCTACTGGTACCTCCCCGAAGTCATACTTGCATGCTGGAGATATATCTAGAAGTACTGGTAGAGCTGTACCTGTCATAGCCACCTCAACCACTCTGTCACCTAGATACATTATAAAACATTCATTAAAAGTTGTGTCTTCATGAAATTCAAATGAATTACAATGTCAAATATATGATATAGCATATTCAATCCCAACTGAAATTGTGAATTAAGACCACATTCATTTCATTGTAAGGTATGTTGAAAAACATTTTTCCAACCTTTACTTGATGACTAAACATTGAAAGTATAATAGAATTAACAATACTATAACAATACTAATGAGAAATGTTACCTGGGTTTTCATAGCCTTCACTTGATCCTATGATCTGAAGTTTCATAAACAGAGCAAAGTCTTTCCTAGGTGGGGGAACGATCTTGTTCTTAAAGCCAGATTTAGAGGCATTCCACCTGAAATACATACAAGTTAATTTAACTCCTTAAACACAATATTTATAATCTTAATGTGTGTTTAATCTAAATGTCTACCTTCAAATAAAAGAAATATTTTACAATTTTTTATAACTGTCTCCTCCTCTGAAATGTTATTATATATTCTGGTATTTGGTACTCTTAAACAAAATGTTGAGACATGTCTTTAAGTAAGTACATGTACATAATATATAATGTGTAAAAAAACAATACCTAGGACTAAATCTAAAGAAGACTGGTATTTTCTCATATGGCTGGAGAATACCCTGGTTTGGTATGGCAGTTACAAGAGATGTAAGCTCATTTGTGTCCCCTTGAACTTTGCCTGTGTCCCCTTGATCTGAAAGAGCTTTCAATGTACTCCTGGTTAAATCAATACCCTGCAATGGAAAAAAAATCATCATATTTAAGTTTAAGTGAAAGCTCTATATTTCTTTTTTTTTCATTCATTAATATTCACAAAAATGTTCACAAAGAAAACTACATTTATGTGTAGTTTTGAAAAAAAGTTCAACTACATATAATTAAAAATACTTTCAAAGTCCAGCTGAAAAACTGAAATGTAAGATGCCCACCACAATTATAGTAACAATTTTCTTTATCTATGCAGTTAAGCAAGAAATAATTTGAAATTTTATGTTTAAAAAAGCTACACTAAATATTATAATTATTATTATTATATACCACATTTCTATAGCACTCTTTTCATAAATAATAAATGTTCAAGAGTGCTTTACATAAATCCGATAAAACATAATCATATATATATATATAAGACATAATGTACAACATTAATTAAGTAAACCTATTAAACAATAATGATAATCTAAAACCAGTAACGGATGGTAAGAAATACAGACACATTTAGTTTAAAATCAAGGCTCAATTAAAATTAACACTGATAATATAGCAAAAGTAGTACATGTATGATGATTTATGAACTAACGTCCATAGAACTTTATGAAAATATGCATTTACTTACCATTTCCTGTGCTATGGCATCTTCATCTAATATTGCTACAAAGTTGACAGGTTCCGGACCATTGTTAAATAGCAGAGCACACTCAGTTTTGTCTGATCCATAGTAAGTATTTCCAAATGGTATACACCGAATAGGTTCCTCTGTTTCTAGTGAGAGTATTTGTAAAGCCTGCTCTACCAGATTAGCACGAATATGAAGGAGGCTAGTTTCTTTCCCCTCTAGTTTCACCCTAGATATTGAGAAGTATATAGTTAGTGTACAGAGACAAAACTTTTGTTAAAAATGCTGTGATAATTTGCTAAATTGTAAACATTGGATCTCATATCTGTTGCCAGATACCTTAATATGAAGTTTTAAGCAAGTTCCAAGAAATTATTATTAAGCCAACCTTGTTAAAGTTTGATAAAAAAAAATCATATAACAACAAATAAAAGATTCTTTTTATCACATAACTAAACACACTGACATTAATGAACAATGTTATATTATGCATGTGTAATAACAATAATTCTATCACTATCGGATTTTTTTCTATATAGACAAAGAAGGCCCGAAGCGTGGATTATTCTACAACAATGCACTCGCCGTTCTTATAAGCTCCCTGTGTATTTTCACATTGAGGGTGCCATTTTGTTTAGAAAATCTGATTAATAAAAAACATTTTTTGTCGAATTTTGTTGTGAAAGCTATCTAGAATGAAAGAAAGTAGTCTAACTAAGAAATTGAATCCGAACACCATTATCTTTAATTCAGTCGTTAACGCTGTACCAAGTTTAAAGAGTTGTTTACGTGACGTCACAATGTAGCGCCATTAACAGCATGTGCAAGACAATCAGATCAAGTACGCTATTTCAATGTCGCAAACGAGTTAAGTTTTACATTTATTTCACTTTTAATAAGTTGTATTTTGCTTGAAAAATTATAGAGTGAAATAAAATAAACAAACAATTTTAGTTTTACCAACGTTTTCAAAATTCGTTATTCTCAAAATGTTTCTACACACGGTAGATTTAACCACAGTTTTTTTTCAACCCACTGGGACAGCCTTTAAAGAACGTTTCTATGGGAAACTCTTAGGGGAAAACAAATTTAACCACCAAACATAAAGTCCAACTTTATAATAATATTTATAGTTTTTCTTGATGTGTTAGAATGGAAATAGATATTAATTCTTCGTTCATTATTGCATAATAATGCATGTTTTCGTTCAAATGCTTTGTAATTAATCACTCAGGCCTACCGGCCTTCGTGATTTTATTACTTCGCATTTGAACTCAAACTGTGCATTATTCTACAACAATGCACTCAGAATTGATATCTATTTCCTTAATATGTTATATGTAGTTATAGCTTACATGGAAAAACATATGACATGGTTTAATAAATCATAGTATAAATAAAAAGATATCAGAGCAATTTGATTATAATCTTCAGAATTAACATATCAATGTGAGCATAAACATTAACACTGTCTATTAATTGGCCTAATATCAAAGACCTATCATTAATATTTCAAAATTTACAGTCACATTTTATTCACATGAAAATTTCATTTCATTACAAATCAAATTTGAACTTACTTAACAACTTCTTCAATCTTTCCTGGATATTTGGTAACAAACTCCACCTGGGATAAAAAAGAATAAGAGTCATTTTATTTTCAAACTCATCATTTGACAGCGGAATATTTGACATAAATGTACATTATTAACAGATTATAGTACCTAAATGTGGACATAGTATAAAATACTTTACCAGGTGCCCGGTATATTAAATTACTTTTCATGTAACTAATATATACATGTAAAAACAAACTTACTTTTATCAACTGTACACTTTTTGGAGGGACTGAACCACTTGTTGGCATAATTGCAATAGGCTGATTGCCTCCATATTTGATCTTAAATTCTCCTGCCTTTGATCCATGGTTAATCAGTGATATTTCCCTTGCTATAGTTTTACTGTTAGCAACAACATTTCCAAAATCAACAGACTGGTCAACCTCAAGGACAGGCTTGGTAGGGTAACTGCAAAATATGATAAAGAATATATTAGAAGAACTACTGTTAAAGTTTTACAAATTTAATATAGCAAAGACCTCAAGGAAAATATCAATACTAAGGTTTTAAATGCTAAAGATAGGTAATTAATGAAAAGGGTATCTTCAACTTCCTTTAATATAGTTCAATACATTTTTCTCAGTAACCTTTCATTTTACTAACATTGTTTCATTTTTTTAAAAGAACTATTTCAAAAATTTATTAAGCTACTTATGTAAATTTCTTTTTACAAATGATTTAGCTAAAAAAAACTGTACTTACGCAGCAAGAGGTATCTCAACCACTTCGCCATCTACTGTAACAACAATTCTGTCTTTAAACTCTCCATCTTCAGTGCTTGTGTACTCAACTATTGCTGGCACAGATAAACCAGAGGCTACTGGCTTGTCAGGATTTTTAACTTTTAGCTTAAATTTCTACAAGAAACACAAAGTCATACATTTATTCACATGAACATGACTGAAATTACAAGCTACATGTATCCTTGTATAAATATCAAATTGTAATCTTCAAAATATTTAAAATGTATCCAAAACCAGCATGTGGTCAATGCTAAAAGCAGCGTTGCATCTTCATGGTATCTTGAATGCTTCTACCATGTTTGATTTTACTTGCAGTAATGACTATCATACATACTAAATTGTGAGCAATTCAGCTGGCCAGGTCATCGACTGTTTGATTTGCGCACTTTACTAATATTCATCAATATTTTTGACAATCCCCCATAATTCTACATGCAACACTGTAAAAGACTTTGATTTAAGTCACCATTTCCTAGGCTTCCTAATTAATCATTTTGATTTTAATATTCTTTGTGACCTTGATTTAACAACTTTTGCACTATTGATGTGAAAATTATCCCTTTGTGCTCATCCATAAAGACTTTATTAAAGGTAAGTAATATATAGTACTTATCATCAGGTTTTCTAAATCCAATACATTTTTTTGTTCATGACCCATTGAATCTTTTGAGATGTCCTTTACCAAATAAAAAGTTTTAGATATCAGCAAATTCTGGACATTAAAAATATAGCGCATAAAAATGATATTTAAAATCAGGGTAACCCTAAACAAGTTTACCGGCCATGCTTGTTTAATTGGAACTCCCCTTTCCCCACCTCCATTTTTAAAACTTTATTTATGTGTACCACCTAACCAGGACTCAAACGGTGTTTGGACTTTACACCTCCTGGATGTTTCACCCCTGGACGTTTCACCCTTAAAACCCTGGTCTTTTCACCTCCACTTTTTAAATTTGATAAATATATGAAATAAAAAATGAAGATGACAAAATGATAGTTGAATATTTAGAATAAAATATGAAACCATTTTTATTTTCTTATTATTTTTTATAAAACAGGAAATAAAATTATATGATGAAAATAAAAGTGTTTATTTTAATGTTACGTTATTGTATAGTGCATACATTGTAGATATAGTAATTGACTCTGAATGAAATTTAGTAAATCTGATCATTTTGTTTTTATCTGTTTTTCATACATTGATACATATTTGAATTTGGTAAATTTTATTTGAACAAGAATGTAATTTTTTAAATAAAATTTCTTAATTATAAATTTCAAAAAACAAATATTCTCTCAAATTTATATGATCAATTATCACTCAATATAATCCAATTAAGGTGTAACAACTAAGGTATGTCAAACAAATTTACTGATATAAATCCATACAGTATACAATATCATCTATAAAAAAAAGTAGCCGAAACGTCTAGGAGGTGTAAAGACCGAAGGTGAAACGTCTAGGAGATGTAAAGACCGAAGGTGAAACGTCCAGGAGGTGTAAAGACCAAACGTGAAACGTCCAGGAGGTGTAAAGTCCTGAAATCACTCAAACCCGGGACCCTTGATATACTCTACCAACTATATGTACGCTATCAGGCCTCATGGTTTTTTACAAATTTCTCTTGGATAATAAATGATAAATCAGTTTGATAGTGTGACAAAATAACTAGAAAAAGTAACCAAGATGCCAAATACAGCATAGTAACATAAGCTCTTGCACACTTGATAACTTTCGGAGTCTGCTAAACTAGATTCAATCCAATATTCCTTTAGGAAATTCCGAATACTCAGCAATAAATAATATAAAGTGTTGCCATTAATATTTGACAACATGTAAGTTAGTGCTCTACCTAAAGAAATGTGGATATATTGCATCAGTCCAGTTTTTCAACTAACCTTTGTTTTTGGAGCATAAAATCGAATGCTTTTGCTGTCTTTACTGATGTTGTAAACAGTAACATTCAACTGTTCTACAGTGTCTGGTACAGTGTCATAAAAATCAACGCTTGCAGGGCTAATTCGGATCCCCGCAACGTCTCTATCCATTTTTATTGTAAATTGGTGGATCAAAGTTTATTCAAAAGTCATGAGTATATTCCATTCGTTTTGTTTATATAATTTGAACAATTGTAAATTTCACATCTCATCCACCATATTGTTTGGCAAGTTGTTGCCCGGAGTCCAGCTAGCAACTAAAATACAACCGTGTAAACGTAAAATAAAAACTAGAAAAACACAAAGGAATAATATTTTTAAAAATATATTTAGATCGGACTTTATGCATAATAATCGTATTTTCTAAAACTATTTGACATAAAGTGAAATTTACCAACTTTAATGATTTAATGAATTACGAAAATATTGATCAGAAGTATAGCTGCTAGCTTTGTTTGGTGTTGCTATGATACAGACGCCATATTTGTGTACAGTCGAATAATAACCAAATAGAAAAAAACACACTTTATCACAACAAAATGGGTGTCGATTATTACAATTTGTTAAATTTAACGCGGTCTGCAACTGATGCGGATATCAAAAAGCAGTAAGTATATCATGATTAGTGCTTTGCGATAGAATTAAGACGTAAATTCTTTTCATTTTTACATTTTATCAAAATTTATCTAGAGACTAGACCAATATCATGTTTGCAATTTACACCATATGTAAAACATTATGTTCACAGCTTTCAATGCACATTGAAATATATTCTGTAACCTTTTACTCAGAGGAGATGTTAAGATTTGCTTTCTTTTAGTGTCATTGAAATGCTGAGTGTTCTAAACATTGAGTTTCAATTCACTACTGTATATTTGTGTTCAATGATAGATAATTGCAAATTATATAGTAGTAGAATGCACAGACACTTGGGGTTTGGAGCTCAAAACGCCTTTAAAATCCAAATAAAATGCATATTTGTCAATCCCAGCACCACAGGCACAAGTATTGGACCTGGGAAGAAAAAATATGACCAGATTGATAATAAAACCTGTGTTCATCTTAAAAGTTTCAAAAATCAAAAAAAAAAATGTAAATAATGACCCCCTTTAAAAATATACTTTAAGTTAAGAGAAGGCTGGAAACTCCAGATTCGAGCCTATGAGCAAAGGATTAATTTCCCGGGCCGTTGTGAAAACAATTGGCCAGACAATTTAAAAAAACCTTTATCACTATTTCACGTTTGTATTAAGCTTCAAAATGAGACCAACCCAAAGTCTCTTGCCCTACCTGTTCATGAAATATCTATCAGGAAACTTGCAAATTCGTGCTAAAAATCCTTGGTAGACAGAATTGCGGCACAACGATTCGGTACCGTCATAATCACCATTTATTTTATTCCATTTCCAATATTTTCTCTCAAGCCTTTGGTCGGTCAACACAGAAGATATAAATCTTCACGATGATGGTCAATTTTAAACTTATAAACGGTAATATAAACAACGCAACAGCCGAAATAAACATCAAGATTATCGCTGTTTTCCTCCATTGACAAAATCTTTCGATAAATTCAAACGTGCCAGACGACTATGAACGAAGCCATCCGATTATGTGGTTCCCAAACTTAAAAGCGCTGCGTATTTTGAACTCTTTTATGCCTTCTTTAATTTCAGTTACCGAAAATTATCTTTAAAATTCCATCCAGAGAAGTCCCCTGGTGACCAAGCAGCTGCTGACAAATTCAAACAAGTTGCAGAGGCATATGATGTTTTATCAGATCGTAAGTATTATTTATATATATAGTTACTATATTTGGATGTCGCTGCTGCTTGCCCGCGTGGGGTAAAACATTACAATACTGGAAGATGGAGTAAATAGAAGAAACGAAAAAGCTACTATAAGACCTTTTACCTGATGAAATAATAGCCTCACAAGATTTGATGGGTGTAATTTTTTAAAGTCCTCATTGCATGATGCTGTTTTTGATAATGTTGATATATACAATAACATAACAGTTAACTTGATTTCCAAGAAACTATCATTTTTCATTTTTTTATATATTTGTAATATTACAGCAAGAAAGCGGGCTGTATATGATCAGTTTGGTGAAGAGGGTTTGAAGAATGGAGTTCCTAGTGGTCAGGTAGAAACAGGAGCATGGACTCAAGGATATACTTTCCATGGAAATGCTGACAAAGTTTTCCGGGATTTCTTTGGAGGAGATAATCCATTCCAAGGTAACTTAAGAATGTGTAGTGTTTTAAGGGAAAGCATTAGGTTCCTAACAAAGAAGATTTATGCTGTTTATGTTGACAGTCTCTGGCAAAAACAACTGAATGCTAATTGCTGAAATATTTGTTGTACCTTTGTTTTATTTAAAGTTATAATTCACACAAAAACTAAACTAAATACTATGCAATCAAACGAAAATGGTGACATTTCTTAAAAGGAAAATAAACATCATTTTTGCATAATTAAAGTAGCTTTATACATGTCAATCATATTCCTATTTATTAAAATTATATTGTTACTTTGTTAAACTTTTATATAATATATATGATTTCTTTTCCAGAATTTTATGACAGAGTTGATGGAGATATGAGTATGTCATTTGGAGGTCTAGTTGGGCGTGGCAGAAAGAAGCAGGATCCACCTATTGAACGTGACCTCTACCTTTCCCTTGAAGAAGTGTTCCATGGCTGTACAAAGAAAATGAAAATATCAAGAAGAGTAAGTTACAAATAGTTTATTATTTTGATAATTCTTTTCTGAGATTTTATTGAGGCATATTTAAGTGGATGGTTAAGCAGACTTCTGTGTCAAAGAGTTTGGTTTTTGCACAACTTTATGCAGAAACGAGTTTCATCTTCTCATAGAAAAGTGTAAAGGTGTTCAAAATTTCATGTTCAAGTTGAAGGTTGTCTTTTTAAGTTGGAACAAACAAGATATTTAGACATAGTAGATGTTTTTTCTTTCAGTAAATCTCTTAAGATTTGTAACCTTTAGATACATGATTTCCTTTTCTTCTTTATTTCTTTTTAGTGTTTATAATTATGAAATGATTTAGAGGCCATTATAAATGTGTGCCTAGTATGACGAAACTGTTTTATCAATTTTCATCCTCATTGATTGTGGTCTTAAATATGATAAAATCTGTTTTACGCTATCTTTATTTGAATATTTATTCATGTTATAGGTAATGAATGAAGATGGTCATACATCAAGCATTAGAGATAAGATTTTAACAATCACTGTGAAGAAAGGATGGAAACCAAATACAAGAATCACATTCCCAGAGGAAGGGGATCAAGGTCCAAATAATGTACCAGGTACCTTCATGCAGTCTTATCTTTTATACTGTTAAATTATATATTTAAGAAATTCTGATTTCATGCAGTTTACACACAGAAATTTCACCATGTGATGATGTCACTGTTGCATATGAGATCAAGTTGTCATGTATTACATTGTGTCTATAAATGAAGTTATGCTATGTTTTGCGAATTAAGTATCAAGCAGCGAGATAAATCAAATATACATTAAAAATATGTTCCGATACCAGATTAACAATTTTTTGTTGTACACTGTATTTTGCAGCTGACATTGTGTTTATTGTAAAAGACAAACAGCATCAGAGATTCAGACGCGAGGGTGTCAACCTTATACACACAGCAAAAGTACCACTTGGTAAAGCCCTGACAGGTTGTACAGTAGATATCCTAACATTGGATGAGAGAATGCTTCATATACCTATCAATGATATCATCAAGTAAGTATACGGCTATAATAAAATATATCAGTTTATATTTCAGCAATATTGCATGATAAATAGCATATTACTATTTTACAAATGCATTGGTTCCAACATACTTCAGGCTTAAACACTTGTGCTTCATAAGTTCATACCATGGTGAACCTTTTTTTGAATATTTAACTATCATACCATTGATAAGACTTTATGGTAACATGGTCTTTAAAAAATTTTTACCAGTTGTGCTGCCATGGTCAGTCATTACATTGTTGTTTTACTCTTGTTATCGATGAGCAATCATTTTATGAAAGGTAAAGATCTAAGAACAAGTTATGTGTATCATTTCAGACCTGGTTACAGAAAGTGTGTACCAAAAGAAGGAATGCCTCTATCTGCTGATCCTACACAGAAAGGAGATTTGATCATTGAATTTGACATTGAATTCCCTGCCACTTTAACACCAGAAAAGAAAGATCTGGTCAAGGCAGCCCTTCTTCATTAGAGACAATATTTGTTATAAAGAATATCTGTGATAGAGTGCATGATTTTATGTTTTATGAGTAACTGACTATTTTATATGTCTTATTGATGTCCAATGTATATATGTGTTTGTAGAAAAAATGAAATACAATGTATTTAACCAATTCTCAAATTTTAATAACAAATACTGAGAAAAATATTTTTTAAAAAAAACTTGTATGGGAAAAGAAATATCTTATTGGCATTTAATTGTTAACAGCTTTTGCTGAACTACTTTGCATCTTAATTTTACTGATTGTCAATATGTCCCAAATGTATAAATAAAAAAAAAGAATCTTAATTTGTTTCTTAGATTATTTCATTATTTGTTGTCGGATATAAAATCTAAGATAGATCAGGTATATACGTACCTGGATAGATTGAAAATAAAACTTTTACAAAATGAATTGAATACATGTCTTTAATGTCCGTACAATATAAATGTTTGTGTAATGGTTGCATTAACTATTCTTAATCTAAAACTTTTTCCCCTGAAGGAAATTGATGATAAACCTCTTAGTCTTAGTATGTACATAAAAAACAAAATACAACAAAAAATTAATTTTGGATTTTTTATTGATCTTTTTAAAAATTTCAATGAAAGAAATATGAAATTGCAATTTTGGATAGAGAATCCACAAGGAGTCTATCCTATTAACAAAAAGGCATCATTATTCTGAAATGTTACACAAATTCATGACCAGAGAGGCATTGACTTTCTTTCTTCAAGCAATTGTGATTAAAACTAAAACCACATTTGAGCCACGTCATGACACAACCAACACAATGGGTTTGCGACCAGCATGGATCCAGACCAGCCTGCGCATCCGCGCAGTCTGATCAGGATCTATGCTGTTCCATATCAGTTTCTCTACTTGTAAAAGAGTTGGTAAGCGAACATGCATGGATCCTGATCAGACTGCGCGGATGCGCAGACTGGTCTGGATCCATGCTGGTCGCAAACGCACTATGTTGGTTTTGTCGTGACACGGCTCATTTAATGAATAACTGTAACTGTTAGCAAGATTTTAGATAATATAATAGATATACACTGTATTATCATAATATTTCAACAATTACAGTTAACAATGTAGAAACAATTTACATATCATACAGTATCTACATGTATCAGAAATATGTAAAATACATCACAATCTGGCTCATCCTTCACCATTATCTGTTTCTTTCGTAATACAATAAAAAAAACTCTGATAAAGGAATTCTTTAGAATAATAAAAGAAGGTATCCCAATGGCAAAAAAGCAGACTGTTTTCGAAGCAAAGAAGTCTTAATATGAATATGTTAAAGTGATATTTTGATTTCTTTAAAACATTTTATGGATTTGAAGAGATATTTAGAAATGAATCTGGTAGATTTTCTTTTATATTCTGGAGACATGCTACATAAATCATTCAACATTCATTGTTAACTTTATAGAACAAAAGCAACAATATAAAACTTTAAAAAATTAAAGTGATGTGACTAAAGATTTGTAATATCAGCAAATCCAAAAAAAGTTGTTAGAGACACACTGACCTTGAACATTGAGATACTTTCACATAATGGATTGGTGAATGTATATTTCTAAACCTTTTAAGAACATAAGCAGTATGAACAAGTATAACAAAGATTGCGACACAGTGAAACAAATTCAAATACCCGCAAATGCTTGGGGGAAAGTGAAATGCACACAGTTATGTCAATAATAAAACGTTTATTTGAGTTTCACATCTTGTATTTCAATTAAAAAGTTGTTACACAAATTATTGCTATTGCATGTCAGTTTTGTCACTATAACAAATGTTTGTACGTATTATGAAGAATCCGAAATAATACATTTACAATGAGCTAATGATCATATTGTTATAGTAGAAAACATTTCAACAATGTCAATTTCACATATCCTGTTACACAGAGATATTTCTTGATCCATCACACAACTATAAATCCCTTCTATATTATTACGTAATGCAATAATGTCTCAGCTTCAGATAAAATCTAACTAGAATCAACACTCATAAAAAATGATTCATTGATACAATGACTAACCAAACAAATTTATAGATGAAAACAACTTTGAATGTACACTATCGAATATCTAAAAGTACTGTTTAAAATACATTTTATTTTCTCTACTTACATTTTTTTAATATCATCAATGGCATAATAATTCAGAGTTCTGCAAACTAATGTTATAGTTGGGCAAAGAAAAAAATGTTATGCAGTCAGCTTGTTTGAATAAACAGTTTCTTTGGTAAATTATGAAAAGTATCAGGGGAGAGAACTACAGTCACATGCATGTAATAATCATGTTTTTCAGTATAACAGTTCCTGTAGGAATCTTCCCATTTATCCTCATTTATTTTGCTGGAAAGATGTTTCCCTTTTATCCTGTCCTTTTATCTTACTGAAATCTCAATTCCATGATTTATTCATACTCCTAAATAATTAAACATGATTTAAAGATTATTGTATAAACAGTAAGCTTTCCCATTGTCACTTTTTCTTATGAATATCACAATATTGTGGAAATGTTTCACATGAACCATATAAAACACATGTCTAGTCAAAATATCTGATGTATAAAAACACATTCACACAGAGATCCACTATGTAGAGTGCATAGGATTTCATGATTCATCGTCTTCTTCAAACTTTGGGTTCACAATGTACACATAATAAAAACAGCTACTTCTGAAAACATAAAAAGATAAAAATAACCAAAAATAAATCACAACTTACAGGAGTTCATTAAAATCAATATATCAATGACTTTCACTTAAAATAATGATATCATTACTATCTTTTTTTCATTATTGATAAATGAATAACAGATCATGATTCTTTTTAATTAACTGAAATGAATATGACTTTTGTCAAATGTGTTTAAAAGAAAACATTCATTCTTCTTTGGAAGATCATCATACAAGTATTAAGCACAATCAAAATGTCAACCATCATGGTTTTTTGTTTCTTTGTTTTTTAACTTAAATAATCATTAAAGAATATAAAGCTCAAACTTAACACAAGTGTTTCCCATCTAGCTTAAAATGGAGAACTATGGGCATACAAATGAGGTTATGAACTAACCTTCCTCATTTTAGTGAAACAACATAATATAATACTGTCAAAGTAAATTTCAGGTTTACAATAGAAATATTTTTTGAATCATGACAATGAACATACCAATAAATAATAAGATAAGTGATTGGTGTCAAATATTAAAGCCTTCTTTTCGCATGCATGCTAAATGAGCGTCTATCAAATCTTTGCAATTTTCTTGACCTTTCTCAGCAATACTGAAAATGAAAGAGAAAATAGAAAAACACTTTAGTTGATGCAAAAAAATGTTACAATAAAGTATAAGACTTAGTGTCATATCATCATTATGATCATACATGCTATAACATCCCAGATATTAAGACTCTCCTACAAATCAGGGGACTGTCAAGAATGTGTCCAAGAGGTGAACTGTTGATAAAAGTTCCAGCAAAAATAGAAATCTGAAATAAACTCCTTTGCAGCTATCTCTAGACCATATAGCTACATGTATAACAGGAAATAATGACAATAATTCTATGTGGACCATTCCAACAAACAATTATCAGCAATGATTTGGATCTGACAATTAAAAGATTGATTACCCGCTGTGACTTGCTGGGTGAAAGTGTCCAGAACTGTAAAAAAACAACTAGCCAGCATAAATTGAATCCGCCGTCTGATAATCTCAAATAGAGAAACAACACTGACTAAATTCATTTCTTAATGAGGGTACATCCACCCCCAGGGGCACAAAAAACAGCTTTTGCTGTCAAGTACGGATCCCGTACATGTCACCAGTCATGCCTAAAGGGTTAATTTCTAAGCACAAAGTGGTGATAATTTACCTTGCTAAAGAAAGTCATATGGCTGCCAATGAGAACCGTATGTACAGTTTACCAAGACAATATTATATGAAAAGGAGGTAGTCCTGAAAACGGCTGTTTTCTAGCAAAGGGTTTTCGAGGGTTTTCTGTTTTCCTGCCTTTCAGTTTCAGGCTGTCATTCTCAGTACTATGGTCTAACCCTAGCACACTTTCCTCATCTTCCCTGTCTACTGTGTAGGGCCACTCTACTCAACATTTGCAGTGGAGTGAGCTCTAAGGTTCGGATAGAAGCTTACTCCCCATTATTCTGTCATGAAATGCACACAAGTTGCACTAACTCAGCTCAAATCAAGTTATTCTATTACTGTGTGTGTATATATATGGGCAAAATCACTACTTCTCAATAAAGTTTCTTTACAAAAAAATAATAGGTATAAAATTATGGCATAATTTCAAAGGAAGTGGCTAGCCGTACGACTAGCCCGGACACACTGTATTGGCTAGCCGTACTGCACTTTTCAAAATTATATGGAAGTCGAAAATGCATTTGTTATTTTGTGTTTTTAATCAAGTCTCCACATTTGTCCTAGTGTGTTCACTTACGGATTTATATTACATATAGAAATCCGTGGTTCACTTTAGTTAAGATGCTTTGCATTTTGTAAAAAAAAATGAATGAAAAAAAAAATATCAAAGTTTTGTAAACTATTTCAATTGATGTTATTTAACTGCAACCAAACCGGTACAAGTCAACCCGGCCCAAAGTCAACCTGGCCGCAAGTCAGCCCGGCCCCAAATTGGTCAACCCGGCCCCAAACGAATGTTATTTCTGGTCAACCCGGCCCCATTTTTTTATTATTTATTTTGCTTTAAAATATAAACACTTATCAAGAAATGAAATAAAAATTAACAACAAAAACAACAACAAAAGTTAACGCTGATATCTTTTGTTATTTATTTTATATAAAAACTATCAATATTAACAAACAAGCAACACATGCATAGTTTACTGTTTTTACCGTCGCGAAAATAGGTTACGTCTGTCTTCTACCTTAACCTCTCTACGATAGAAGAAAAACAAATTATTATCGCATTACCACTCACGAAACCATCTTTAATTTACATCGAATAAAGACATGAAAGATACTACCAACTTATTTAAAGGATTTGTTTTCACAGCTATACCTTTTTAAACTGTTTGATTATCACATCTGAAATAATGTTGATGTACATATAATTGTTGATGTTATATAATTATTCATTATCACTATTGTGTATTAAACTATTAAAGTCTTAATCGACACAATTAAATTTACTGACACTTTTATGCCAGTTCAAGTTTTTTTTACTATTGTTCTATAGTTAATAATATTCAATCAATAATAAATCATTTTTATTACATCATGCAACAAAATGACCTGAATAGTTTTCTTTGAAAATATATATTTTGGGGCCAGAATGACCGATTTTGGGGCCGCACTGACCAATTTTGGGGCCGCATTGACCAAATAAAAATACTGTAGGGCCGGATTGACCAATTTTGGGGCCAGGTTGACCAATTTTGAGGCTGGGTTGACTTGGGGCCGGGTTAACTTGGGGCCGGGTTGACTGTAATTCCAACCAAACGCTATTTTTTCCTCGACGTCTTGAGATGACAAAAATATATTCTGTTTACTGTATTCATATACTTTCTTTACTGTAGCCAACAAGGCGACCATTTAACTATTTGATTATTTCAGGAAAAATATTATTAGAGTGTTCTAAAAGCTGGTACCCAGATTACATACCACTCATCTCTGGCTTTTCTTGTTTCTGGACAAGCACAACAAGGTTTCAGCTTTTTCTTCTCTCCGCCTGCTGGTGCGGCAGGACTTTCAGCTTTCTCTGGGGTTGTTGAGGAGGACTGACCCATATTATCGGCATAAACTTCAACTAAAACCTTTAAATTGCATAAGACAGTAAGTCACCTTGTATATTTTTAATCACTGGCTTTAAACGCTTATTGAAATTAAATGATTTTAAAGCTTTCGTGACACCCAGATCAAACCGGAGACAGCATGAGTTTTCCGTTGCTGGTTTCCCAGTTTAAGATATGTCGCTAATCATATATCACCACACAGCCAGACGCAAGACCAAAAGTAAACAAAATGGCAGAAAGCGAAAAAGATCAGGTTAGTGTAGTATTTAATTAAATTAACAAGCTTATAGGTTGATGATTCCTTATTTATTGGATCATGGATCCTTGCTTAGTTTTCTGTCATAAAATGTTCTATGTCTTTTAACCGACCCCCTTTTAACCACAGGGACCCAGCACAGTGTTGGGATAGTGTAAAAAAAGTAATTCTAGAAAAAAATATGTACTGTACTGTATATATAATATATAGACAAGGGGTTGAACTTGCCAAATCGGCCGAATGTCACCAGTCCAGTATAAGTAAAAATTGCAAAGTCATTTTTACGTAAATCATATAAAGATATATATCAAATTGCAGCTAAATGACATCAACCTCTTTTCATGGACACTAGTTTCAATTTCACAGTTATCTTTCTTTTCCAAATTTACGTCTAGAAATGTTGCATTTGTTTTTGAGTAGTTATAAGTAAATTTAATAGTGATAGTTGTTAATTTCATTAAAAAATGTAATAAGCTCCTCTTCACTGTGGTCCCAAATGAAAAAAAATATCATCAAGAAATCACAGCCATATTGAGGGTTTCCTTTCACATGTATTTAAAAAGTCCATTTCAAATTTTCCCATAAATAATGAAGCATAAGATGGTGCCATTTTAGTTCCCATAGCTGTTCCTAAATTTTGTATATAGTTATCATCACCAAACTGGAAGTTGTTTTTTGTAAGCATTTTTTCAATAAGATGTAAAATGTCTTTAACTGAATGTTGTTGTCCTGTTCTCTGATTAAGGTAATACATGCTTTGATTCCATCATTATGCGGTATATAATTTATTACTTAAAAAGATGATATATCCATTGTTACTAAGAATGATTCTGTAGAAATATTTGTAATATTTTGTAGCTTTCTGATGAAATCTGTAGTGTCCTTAACATATGAGGCCATGTTAGAATTCAGTATAATATCGACATACGATAATATGTTTTCAGTTTATGAACCCAATCCAGATACTATTGGTCTTACAGGGTAACCGAGTGGTAGATCAGGATTGAATGTTTTGTGGATTTTAGGTAAAATATAAAAAGCTGGAACTCAATAATCACTATCAGGAACCAAAAATTCTTTAATGAGTAACTTACATTATCCATTTGATGAATTTCCTCATAGATTGCTTTTTTAAATAGTTCAGTTGGATTATTTTCAAGTTTCTAATGATATTGGTCGTTTTCAAGTTGCCTATTAGTCAGTACGGTTCATAACAACAATAACCGAACTTTTATCAGCTTTTTTTATAATGATATTTTCATCTTTTTGTAGGCTTTGCAAGGCTTTTAACTCTTCTGGTGATAAATTTGTTTTATAACTATTGTGTTTACTGTTTGACAGAATTTCATTTGTTATTGCTTCAATATAAAAATCAAGATTGGAATCTCTGCCAGAAGGGGGAATAAAAGTAGAGTTGTTTTTCTTCTTACTGTTAATGTCATAATTATTGGTACTATTGTTTTCATTTCCCTCACTATTTTCCTCTTTTGCTGCAAAATATTCATTCAATCTGAGTTTTCTTGTAAATTCAAAAACATCTTGTTTAAGTTGAATTCTATTATGGGGTTTTGGTGTTGGGCAGAATTTTAAACCTTTACCAAGTAATCGATATTCAGTGTTATTGAGCTGTTTATTAGAAAGATTTATTACAGTGTTCTTACCCCTTTCTATGTCTTTCTTTATTTTCTTGTTTTTCTTCCATTTTCTCTTGTTTGTGATTCGAATGAATCGTCTGTTCTTTTTAGATTCTGTAGGCATTTGATCAGTTCCTGAATAGTTTTCTCTAGGTGTAATGTGTTTTTTCCATTCTGGTGTTGTATGTTGCTCTCTTGTGGTACATGAATTTTCTTGTATTGTTGTTTCCCCATTGTCACGGCTTCGCTGTATTTCATCTTCATGCTGCCTGGGGATATCTCGTTTTTTGAAACATTTGATGGCATTGATTTTGGCTTTGCATTTTTGTTATTTGTTTGTGCCAATGGTTTAATGTTGTCTCTATCATTTACCTCTTCTTTGGCATTTTTATTTGAATGTTCATAATAATTATTTGTTCTTTGCTCTCTTTTTTGGTTTTTGTTTTGATTCTTGGAAATTTGTCTTTTTCTTTTCTCATCATTGCCATTTGATGTAGAAATTTGTGCAGATTCTTCAATAATGTAACAGTCTCTTTTGTCAGTCAGCTGCTTAATTTTCTTATTTTGATTTGTAACAATAGTGTTATTCTTTAATTCTGTTTTGTTGAATATTTCTTGCGAAATTCTATTCATTTCACCATTGTTGTTTAGTTAAGATCTAAGTTCATTTTCAATAGCAAAAATACTATATTCTATCCGAAATATCGGTTTGTTGTTCACAAACGGTAAAAGTGGGGACATTTATGTTATTGTCAACGTCTAGTGATGTCATTTAGCTGCAATTTGATATATAGCTTTATATGATTTACGTAAAAATGACTTTGCAATTTTGACTTATACTGGACTGGTGACATTCGGCCGATTTGGCGAGTTCAACCCCTTGTCTATATATTATATATACAGTACAGTACATATTTTTTCTAGAATTACTTTTTTTACACTATCCCAACACTGTGCTGGGTCCCTGTGGAAGTGAACCTAGCCCAACAAATTGTGCGCTTTAGGGCTTTTTTTATAGACGATGGTCGCCCTTCGCCCTTGTAAAGACAGACATCTATGAAATATCAGATTATAAAATCAGTCTGTCTTGCTGTCGAAATATTGAGACTAGAAGTGAACCTTGTTTATGCCAAAATTATTCTGATACTTGTGATATACTAAAATATACCTGAAATTTGATAAAAATAAATTAAAAAAACTTAAAGGGGTTTTCACTTTGTCTCAGTACTTTAAGTTTGTATATCTTAATTGAAAGTTTATTTAGCTTTTTTGCTGGATTGGATCATCTCACATCTCATATTTATGTCTTATTATCTGATTAAATTTTGCTTTTGCTAAATATTTACAGTAATACAAAACTTTTGGAGAAGACCTTTTTTATATGACAATGACAATAGATTTTATTCAGCATTAAACATTGTACAAATGTTTATAGCAGAACTGATGAACAAATCAAATACACATCCCATATATGTGGTTGCTGTCAGAAAACAATTTTGATAGTCCAATAAACAACTGATTAGACTGTTGATGCTAAAGTGCAGTGTTTATACAACTGATTTAATAGTGATGTCAAACTGTTAGTTGATGGTCTCGGTGTTTATACAACTAATTAATTAGGTAACAAGATTACTGTTAACACCACAATTACTGTAGTTTGTTTAATGGCTACTGTTTAATGAATTGATGAAGAAATAATTTAAAAGAATGATTTTATACACTTATTTAAGTTAATGTTTATTTTTATTTTTTTAAAAACTGATACATTATGCAGTTCCATTTATTACAAGTTTTAAGTGAAAGCTCCAAAGAAAGGTTAGAATTCATATTTAACGTCCTTGCATGTCTTAAATTTTCTGGGGAAATGAAGACACAAGTTTTAAAATGTGAACCCCAAAAATTGCAGTAGAAGCCATCATTTGATATTCAAAAACAGACTAGCATTTAATGCCCTTGCATGTATTTAAGTCTGAAAATTTCTAGGAAATTGTAGAAACATGAATAATTTAAATTGTGTATGAATAAATGCATCAGAAACCTTCAGTAAATTTGTATATTTTGCATATTAAACTGCTGAAGGTATTCAGTTGAAACTGTACATATGGTCATTCAAACTATTACCCATAACTCTTCTTGCATAGATTTTTCTTACATTATTTATATCTTTTAGTTACATGTACATCTGTTATTGTCAACTAGTGAGTTTGTTGGAGATTTTTGCATGTTGTAAGTTAACTAAGACTAATAACTTAAGCATGGACTTCATTAATATAATAATTGTTTGCATCTCAAAATATAGAAGTTGACTGCTTTAGCCAAACACAGAGATTATATTAATCTGTCTGACAGCTAATGTTTTGATGTATTTTAAGTTTGATGAGGAAGATAATGAAGAGGATGTACAACCTGAGAAGAGAACAAAGAAGATATTTTCTAAAGAATGTAAATTTACTTTTTTGTTGCTCTATAAATATCTTATGTAGCATTGATTTTTTAATCATATACACTGAGAGCTCACAATAAGTGAAAAGCATGTCTATAAATATCAAAGTTGAAGGACATAAAATCTTATAGATTCTAGAGAGAGTTGTTGCATACTTCTTAGAAAGATTGGCATCATATTAGAGCATCATATTACCTTTACAACATTGTATTCCATTAGAAATTGTAGAAATTAAAATTAATGTTCTTTAATCAGAATCTAACATAGATTCTTTGTTTTGTTTAATGCACTTGTATTTTTTTTGATTATAGTTTATTTGTATTTTTTTTATATGTTCAGTGCATTGCACAATAAATTTGCATATTTTAAAGCTACAAAACCTTTATTTTTAAATTTTGATATTTTTAATACAGTTTTATGATTAACTTCGATATTTCTTGATGAATTTGTATATTTCTTACTTGCAGTACGTTGTATGATGTATGGGTTTGGAGATGATCAAAATCCGTATACAGAATCTGTAGATCTGATTGAAGATTTGGTCATTGAATACATTACAGAAATGGTAGGTGACATTATTATTGATAACTTGACCTATTATTGTGGCATAGGTTCAGTTAAAAGAAAACATTCTTAAATGGGTAAATCCTAGCAAGCAATGACAACAACAACCAGTAGTTGAAAGTTGTAAACTCTTATGAGTTTGTTCATCAGAGATTTTAAATATACAATGCAACAATCCCTCATGCCCTCTAGCATTGCATTAACCCTTTCACTGCCAGAGGGTTATTGTTTTATTGATCACCTATTTGCCAGAGGGTTTTCTAAAAAAATACTATATTATTAATTAATATAATTATTATTATTATTTGTTATTAGTATTATAATAATTATATATGTTTCCAAATATGCTAGTATAATAATAATTATTGTTGATGGTATAATTTTCTTTATATTTCTTATTATTTTTATTATTATTATAAATTAATTATTATTATTATGATTATTATAGAAATGGCTAAAGCCGTCCATATGGCAAATACGCCGAAAATAACAGGGACGGCTTAAGCCGTTCCTATGGCAGTGAAAGGGTTAAGCTTTATTTGAATCTCAACAAAAGTATTGAAATCAATTACCTAAAGGACCAATTTTTAGGTCCCACCTGAGTATCCCTGTTTATTTATGAGGGGGTTAAGGTTATCCAGATCATACCTTACATAATTTGTATGTATGTATAAAGGAGCAGAGAAATTCAGAGATGACGTTAGAGGTTTGACAGGTGGCACACTGTCACAGTACTTTTAACTTTGTTATGCTATATTTATTACAGAGACTTGATGAATGTGTTTCATTAAATTTCAGACAAAGCGAGCACTAGAAGTTGGCAGACCAGGAAGGATATCAGTTGAAGACATTATTTTCCTGATTAGAAAAGATCCAAAAAAGTATTCTAGAGTTAGAGAGCTGTTGACAATGAGTGAAGAGTTGAGAAAAGCTAGAAAAGCGTTTGATGAAATTAAATATGCAACAACTAAATGATAAAGTAATTTTGGATACTGAGACTATTCATTAGTATTGGTTGGGAACAAGACATGAGAAAAGATAGAGTGGATATGTGTCATGATGTTTGTGAAACTGAAATTATTGTGTGATGTAGATGATCTGTGTCATCAAAAATTATAAATTTAAAGATTTGGACAGAAAAAAATGAAGACTTTAACTAAGCTGGCCATCTTTGTTTGCACAATTTTAAAAATTAGACAAAAAAATATTTTTGTCATCTTTCATTTTCTAGTAGCTCTTGTAACTCCAATTTCAGATTCTATGAATTTATCTCTTTTGTTGTAAATGTTCATTAAATCCAAGTATTGAATATAAGCTATACAATAAAAAGCAGTATTGTACACTGTTATGAACATATAATATTGTTAGTTAACGTCAAATTTGGATGGGAAGCTAAAATTGAAGATGTGTATAAAATTTTAGCCTTAGTTAAGAAAAATGACTTGAAATGTGGATACTAAAATAAACTGTACCTAAATCATCTGTCTTAAAGAGTTGTAAAAAAAGGTTTTTATATTTTTTAGCTCACCTGTCACAAAGTGACAAGCTGAGCTTTTGTGATCGCTTTTCGTCTGTCGTCTGTTCGTAAACTTTTACTTTAAACTACATCTCCTAATAAACTGCAAAGCCAATTTCATCCAAATTTCACTGGAAGTTCCTTTGGTAGTCAACTTTAAAAATTGTTCAAAGAATTTAATTCCAAGCATTTTTCTGGGCAACAGAAAGAAAAAAAAACTTAATATCTTCATTTAGAAAACAGAAAGAGCTAGAGCTTAAATATTTGGCATGAAACATCATCTAGTCAGTGTCTACCAAGTTTGTTCAAATAAATGCCTTGGTGTCAAAATTGGCCCCGCCCCGGGGTGGGGGGAGGGGGTCATTGATTTTCCTTATTTGTATATATAGTAAAAACTTTAAAAAAATTCTTATAAAAAACCCTAAGAGCTAGAGCTAAGATATTTAGCATGAAACGTCTTCTAATGGGTGTCTACTATTTTTGTTCAAATAAGGGCCCTGGGGTTAAAATTGGCCCCTGCGGGGGGGGGGGGGGTCATTGATTTTCCTTACATGTATATAGTAAAATCTTCTGTTAAAAAACCCAAAGGGCTAGAGTTTAGATATTAAGCATGAATTATCTTCTAGTGAATATCTACCAAGTTTATTCAAATAAAAGCCCTGGGGACAAAATTTGCCCCTCCCAGAGGTGAGTCATTGTTTTTCTCTATATGTGTATAGTAAAAACTTTAAAAAATCTTCTTACAGCTAGAGCTTAAATATTGATCATTAAACATCTTCAAATGGTAGTCTACCAAGTTTGTTCAAGGGTTAAAATTGGCCCCACCCCAGAGGGGCTATATACAGGTGAGCGATTTCAGGGCCATCATGGCCCTCTTGTTTTGTATTCTAGATGTTGCATGGGTATTATCAGACGCATTGAAAAACTGGAAATATGAGGGCTGATCATTAATCAAAAAGTTTGTTGACTGTGGCTGTAATGTTCACATAGAACATTGTGTGGCACAATATTGAATGCAACTCCATGTGAATATAAATTTGTTGACTTTACATTGTATTGTACCTGTATGTAATAATGAATAGATGTTGATTTTGTAAATGTTAGTCTGTAAGTAATAAAGTTTTTCTATAAAACTATTTATGATAATTGAATCATGTTTCACTATAAGATACCTGCTGGGACCAAAAATGATTAGTCATTGTAGAGCCAAGCTACCAAGCACATCCTTGCAGTCCTTCTAACTATGTGTGTACTGTTTATAGCTGAATTTTATAGAAATCACTTGAGCTTTAAATGGACTAAGTTGCAAACATTTAGGGTTAAAGTCCCTTTACCTTTAAAATTGTATGGTCTTAAATGACAAACCTGATGCTAAAATGAAGAATTATCAATATGTTACAAAAATATCTCACTAAAATATAGCCAAATTTAATAGTTCTTGTAAATAAAGGGAGGTTATAAAAAATATATTTTTGATAAAATCTTGGCTAAATTTTCAATAAAAATAATTTTTATGTGTGAGTATTATTTTTAAAACTTATTTATAATGTATACAAAAATTTGATGTAGAAATGTTACAAATACTGGGATGTTTAAAAATCACGTTGGAAGGAAACACATAAACATGCATCTAATTCTAGTTAACTGCATGTGTCCTTAATTTCAACAAATAGAATCTTTAATAATTTGAATAATTTGTATAGTAATACTATTTTGTAAGTAACGAATTAGAGATATTTAATATATCTGTCAAACACTGACATGAAAAATAATTATTTGACTTTGTTGAAAAGCTTTGTTTAAATTCACCAGACTGGATTAAACACTTGATAACTTTGTATTAGAATTATAGTGCAGTAGAGGAGATAAAATATTAATAGAGGAACAAATTTTTTTAAAGGCCCATTTTGCCCCAGAAATTATTTTAGTTTTATTTTTTTAATAGGTTGTCATTTTGAATGTACTTTTATAATGTCCAAAAGATGACCAATGACAACTGACCAATTACCTGATCCATGTTTTGCTTCTGTTGCTATTTTGCAATTAGAATAGTTATAGCGATTTACTATTTTGAATAAATTAATAAAGTCAAAATACTACTTTGGTTAAATTTTGCTGCTTTTATGACAAATAATTTCACATTTAGCGTAACAAGCATCTAACTTGCTTTTATAAATCATTATTTAATTGTTAAAAAACTCATGGTTGCAGTCTTTAAAGAAGCAAAAATGTATTCTTTTCTGGGGAATAATGTGCCTTTTAATGAATATTAACCAAGACTTAGTTTATTTGTACTTACACATGAAGATGGTGTTAAGTTAAGGTCACACTTATAATACAGTATATTATTTACAACACTGAAATGTATGGTGACATGGTCTAAGGTCAGCTTGCCCAGGAAAATTACACATAAAACAGACAAATATCTGCTGGTATTAAATTAGATTTATTAATTTAACAAATATTTTATAACCTATCTTATAAAGGAAGAAAAAAAATTAGCAGTTACCTATTCTCGGCTAAAGAATGAATTTCTTAGGAAGTAAAATGGTCAGCAAAAATAACGCAAGGTCCATCAAATATATGCTGCTATAATCCACGGAAAGACACCCAGGTCTTCATCCATCCGCCAGAAAAACTGGAAAGTCGCCATATGACCTTATACCACAGGCGCTAGTCACAAAATCAAATATTTTACATAATCGGCCTATTTAATATCTCTCTTATTATAGTATATAGCCCATTTAAAACTTTGTTTCAAGCACCTGTACCTTATACTGTGTTACTTTAATCACCTGTGCCTTATACTGTGTTACTTTAAGCACCTGTGCCTTATACTGTGTTACTTTAACCCATTGCTTCATGAGCATTTTGTGAAAAATGGCTGTTTTCATTGAAAAGTCTCCCGTTACAAGTTCAAATTGCTATAATACTATAAAAACTGCTTCAACACTAATCAAACTTGGCACAAATGTTGACTGGACCATTGCCCTTGCAACAACATGCTCAGGCTTAAATTTTCTGTTACCATGGCAACGAGGGGACATCTCAAAATTGCCAAAAATCACTATTTTGCGTTGATTTTTTCCATCAAAATTGATTTCAAAGTGCTGCAACTTCTCAATGGATTGAGATAGAGTCAAATGCTTTTCAGCGTTGGTTACACGTTACCTTATGATCAATCTGGGGTCATTTACAGCCTCTCACAAGTCCAAAATTTTCTTGGCGATGAGGGGGACTCAGCCCCCCTTCAAACCCCCCCAAACAGAAGGGGGCACATCCCCCTTCTGGCAACCCCCTGATGTATCTTTTGGTTGGGGGGCCGCGCCGAAAAAGAGGTCACTTTTTTAACAACATTTCTCAAACAAAAACAAGTGTTTGGGGCCTAAATAAGGCATTTTTTCATCATTTGAGACAGCAAAAAGGGGGGGGGGGGGAAAAAGGCGTTAAAAGGCGTGTATATGAAGTAATGGGTTAAGCACCTGTGCCTTATACTGTGTTACTTTGACATCACGCCTGGCAAACTGTCGCTCCACTTCAAAATTGTGGTGTACGGTAAATCGAGCGAACGGCATTTCCGAGATAGAGCGGAAGGTCGATTTAAACGCCTAATTGTAACTTAAATGAATAACAAGACAAAAACATAAAAACACTTGCAATTATCCGTTTAAATCGGCCTTCCGCTCTATCTCGGAAATGCCGTTCGCTCGTTTTACCGTACACCACAATTTTGAAGTGGAGCGACAGTTTGCCGGGCGTGTGACATAAAACCCGACAAATTAATTGGGAATAAATGAAATAATCAGGAATAACAAACAACATGGATAATTTAAGCAATTTAAGTGATATAGATATAAACTAATTCTCTGTGCTAAAATTTTTAATTGCCATATCTTTAAACAAAGTCGTTAAGTTTTGATAGTTTTTGAATTTTCCGTTTGTTTCCCATATAGATTTGATATATTTTAAATTCTTTACCGAGATAAGTATATGTAGCTATTGAAACGAATTTACAGGGATTGCCATAGTTCTAAATGTACGTATTATATGGCTCATGTGCCAAACGAGACATGCTACCAGTCCATCACTTAATAGTAAGTAAAAATAGTAAGTAAAAAAAAATAATAATTTAACTGTATGCAATTTCCCCGAGTAGAATTTTTACCCGAAAAAGTTGATGTACAGTGGACAATATGACCAAGGTTTTACAATAACCTGTGACAGAAATGGACAGGTACATTGACTCTGATTCGCCACTTTGTAAGGCCACCCCAGCTTTGGTAAGGACATTGTCAGCTGCTCTAATGGATCCAAAGTTTGATGAACTTTGTTATATTCCACTCCAAGTCCTGTTGTCTTCTACCACTGTTCTTGTTCTTTTAAGGACCTGAACGCTCCGAGGGGAAAAAGGAGTTGGCAAGGTAGTGTGCTGTGGTTGTGGTGGTAGTTTACCCCCCGGAATTGAAGTTACCAGAGCACAGTTCAGCCATTGTGAAAGTGACCTGCACCGTTCTAGAATTGAGCCCGGGTCGCCCGATTCACAGTCCAACGCTTTACCTATTGGCTCGAATGTACGGTAGTTTGTTGCAGCAAAATCATAATATAAACTGATGATTTAACTTTGAAACACCTCAACCTTATTTCCTATACAAATGAAAAATCGTGCTGTTTATCTAAGCGGAAAACGGTTAGCTTGTGAGAATAATTATATCTGTCCAGTCAAATGATTGGGTACTGGGCCTTGTTCTGTAGAGGACTTGTAAAGGATTATTGTGAGGAAACTGAAAACCCCAACTTCTATGCGGCTATGATTTCGAACCTTTCAGGATCAAACTGGAATAATGCAGTAAAATGTTTACTGCCCATCTATTTTCATTGAAAAATTAAGTATTATTACTTAGTGTTAACTCTCCTGTATAAAGAATTTGACGACGGAATAACCCTAATCCATATTGAACTAGTTCTAAATTTCACGAAAATTGCTGCATCTTCGTTGAGAATTAGAGAAAACGCAGTATGTTGAAATCGTATTGTTTAAAACAAAATAATAAGTATTTTCAAGTAGAATATTTCTGTTATATAACAATTGAAATACTAGTAGCACATTTGTTACCGTTTTTCTAGTTTTTTTCCTTTATTTGTTGGGGGGTTTTTTTTGTTGTTTTTTGGTGATTTTTTATAAATTATCTTTCTTGTTAGGAATAATTCGCTTGCGTAAATTTGATTGAATTTACAGAATTAATTAAGTACCTAAAATTTTAAAAACTGTATAGTGTAAATTTTCTGCACGAGTAGCAGGGCACAAGATTGTGTGTTTAGAAAAACAAAAGTATGTTAGTATTATAAATACTAATAGTTGTCGTGGTTTGTCTTTAAAATAACGCCAACATATATTGAATACAAAATTGAATGTTCTTCTTGAAATGCAATATAAATCATTTAAAATTTTGTCAATATTTGGTATTTGTTCACTTTTGGTAAGTTATCTCTATTTACTTCCCGTGACAGTGTTTACAATACATTCCTTAATACCCCCATTATAAACTGCAAGCAATGTACATGTGTATATACATAGCGAGATCATGTCATTTTGAATGAATGTGCGCGTTGGAAGATAAGTAAAACGTTTCAAATTGAAATATTTCACATAATGTAATGAAATTTCCATATAAAAAATCAGTGAGGATTTAGTTTTCTATATAAAGTCAGTGTGCGTGAATGTAAATTATACATAATTCAATTTTTTTACTTGTGGAATTGAAAGGATATAATTACGATTTGGATTGACCGGTTTAAAAGTTAAAGGTAATGTTTTTTTAAATAATTTGAAAAATAAGTATGTATTAAAACGGAGGCACATGCCAGAGACTTTTTATAGAATAATACTAACACAACCACAGTTTCACTGGTATATATATTGTATCGTGTATTTGACCGATTATATAATTACCAGTATTTTAAAATCTAACTGAAAAACATGCAAGGGTCACTATATTTATTAATATTTAGATTAAAATCACATTCAATTGAATCCTTAAGCTTTAGTATACTAAAATTGCCTAACTGAAATGTAGCGTTTGTTCTGTTGACATGAAAATGAACGTTGCACATTTAGTTATAAATCTAGTTATAAATGTTCAAAGTTTCACATAGCGAAATATCTTTTTTCCCTCCCAGGTTTCATCCATTTAATTATGAGTCTTTAAAATAGATCAAAAGTATATGATTTGTTATATTATATAATCTTGGTGGGGGAGTATATTGATTGATCATAATATCTCACGAAATCAGTTCTACATTACTGCTATAAATAACTGACTAACGTTACTTGTATAATGGTATATACATAAGAATACCATTTATTTTTAGACCCCGTTATTGGTAACGGGTATTAACTATAAATACTTAAAAACGGATTATATCTTTAAACAAATATTAACTTATTATCATACCGCGATTTGAAGTACGCTGTTGGAATCAAAATGTTGTCATCCACTTGTATTGAATCGCAAAATTTGGATTTCACCATTTTATATAATTACCAGTATTTTAAAATCTAACTGAAAAACATGCAAGGGTCACTATATTTATTAATATTTAGATTAAAATCACATTCAATTGAATCCTTAAGCTTTAGTATACTAAAATTGCCTAACTGAAATGTAGCGTTTGTTCTGTTGACATGAAAATGAACGTTGCACATTTTTCACAGTTACGAGTTTGACACGATATCTGACAAATAAACATATATTCTACTTTTATTTGTTTTATACATCGGTAATTATTTCTCATAACATGATCTTCGCCGCTCCGGACACTTTTTGGCGAAACCTGCTGACCTTATCTTTTACGAAGGTAAAGTGTCGCCGTTAAAACTTCGTCCAATATTAATGTTAACACTAACATCTTACGACAGCTGATGTTCAAGGTAACGTCATTATGTTGTTTTGGTATAAAAGTAATGATAAAACACCACTAGTTTCACATAATTCTATTTTTCTCATATTGTTGAGCGAATTGTATAACTAATTAGACATAACAGCGTTGATGCAGCTTCGTTTTAAGCACGGTGATTAATTAAGTAAATTGAGAAAAGTATATAAATGAAAGCTGTCTTTCTGTGATGAATATGATTATGTAGGATTTCTCGTTGGTATTGGTATGTACATTATATATTATAATACCATGGGCAGTAAAATGTGTACTTGCGGGTAAATCTTACAATTATTCCTCTACTATTACTTGACCATTTACAATGCAAATATTTGACAAGTTGACGAAGATCAGATAAAGTGGTTGTTTATAGGAATTTGTCATTGTCGGCACAATCAGGGCATCATTGAAACATAACGGCAGGTCTTAAACATACCACTTAATGTCAACATAAATTATATACACGCATAGATTTGTTGAACGTTCTTATATCATATCAACACAGCAGGGCTATTTAACATTTGAATGTAAGACGAAATTATTTCATTGTCCGCCTTTTTAAGCCTTTTATAAGCCGTGACATTTGACTAACTCTGATTACACATTGAAACGAAGTGTGAATAAAAAAAGACACGTTTGAAGGCAACTCCTGACCCCTGTGTTTTTTTATTCAATAATTTATATGTTGTTGATGTAGTCTGATTATGCTTATATTCAGACATATCATTGCATGATATTACTTTGATCAATATATGTGTTACGGATGGTTTACAGTCTTCTTTTTGTTTGTATTTAGATTAAGCACTTTTCTCTAATTAATACATTTTGATATCCATGCAGAATCAATTTGATTTTATAACATGACCAGCTATAGTATAGACGGGTCTTTTAAAACACTTGACTTAATCATACATGAAACAGCAACTCTATGATTATTACGAAACCTGGTTTTAAGTGAAGATAAAGTTCGATTGATGATAATATATCATTACCAAGGCTTTGATGACAAGGATCAGGAAGCACTTCTGAAACTTTACATCGCTAATCATATGGTAAGGAAGTATAAAACTAACGATTCATTTAGATCTATATAATTTATCTGCTTTTGATCGTACAATGTTACCCGATTATTTCTAATATATCATTTGAGAAATAAATCGCTATGGCCATGTATGCAAATAAATCCAAATTAATGCAAGTATGTATAAACATTAATTCTTTATATATCAAATAACATAATTACATTAAATCGTTTTTAAATTAGCATAAAAGAAAATGCATTAGATATATATTATCAGCGAAAACAATACGAATACATCTAGCAATCAAAGCACAAAAGGCGCTGAATTTGTTTGGGTCTCAGAATGTAAGAAAGGTACAGGTTGTGAGATTATATGTATAGTGCCACCAATGCTTCCCAGCGTTTTAATTGTAGTAAATTGGCTATAAGACTAAATTCAATCCAACGTTTATTTGACTTTAACAATTTGAAAAAAAATGAGTTGCCTTTACTGGGATTTGAACTCCAGACCACTCGCTTCCTAAGCGAGCGCGAAAACCCTTCAGCCTAGGTGAATTTATATGTGAACGGCCTTTAAGAAAACCATAATTATTCTAAATTAGGGCTTGTAACGACTTTAACTGTTGTTTAACACAGATGTAAATAATCCTGGAGCTTACTATAAGCATGTATATGTATAAAGAATCAAAGGGCTGCAAGTTCTGTGGTATTTTCTGATCTTCGTACTGTATATCTGTATGTATTATAATTCATTTTGCAAGGCACCAGAGTTTGATATATACGGAATTCTGCATAACTAGATTTGCATCAAAAATCATTTATGTTCATTTTTTACGACAGCCACACTTTATCCTAGCATATCATGGCTACTTCCTTAACAAAGACACTTAAAAAAGAATTTTAAAAAAAGTTTCCTCAATTGGGATTTGAACTCCAGACCTTTCACTCACTTAACAAGCACGTAACCCCTGCACCACGGAGAAGTTATACAAACAAAAACTGAATAACATCAAGTCATTCTAAAATTATAACTTCCATTGCATTTCGGGTTTGTAATCTTTATTAATTTCGAGGTATTTTATTCAGGATAAACCTGTTGTTTAAAATTGAAGTAAATAATTTAGCGAAAATCTTCTCGCCCAAACAGTCCGACATGTAGAATCTATATTTTTGTGTAGTATTCAGTAATCGACATTGCTAAAATAGTATTTTCATTGATAAAATCATATTCATCCGCGTAATTTGTGATTGTGCATTTATTGACAATTCTATAAGCCAACGCTCTTTTTAAACTTTGAATGGGTTGTAATTTGTTGGATACTTGTAACAAAATAAAAATATTTCTTTCTTTTAAATCGCTAGTTTTAAGCTGTTTTGAGAACTACTTGTTGTTAGGTTTGTCGTAAACTTCTGTGTCAGAGATTGAATGTCCGCTTTGTATATACTTATTTTCGATCAGAAAGTACAATAAAACAATATTAGAAATCTTCGACCATTCGGGAATTATTTTGCTTGAAAATTAATGTTCCTGTCTTTGACCATCTTTACGCATTGATCTCCCCTGAATTTTTCGGCGTTAGTGTACATATAAAAGGGAAAAAACCGCTTCAAAAAAAGTGGACTACTTTCGGCATTTGCAATTAACAGCATTAGACTCTGAAATTTTGCTACCATTATTTGTTTGGTCTGACGACCCAAACAAATAAAAACTAAGATAACCAACTAGTCAATAGATCTATGATATATAGCCAAATCATTGTACTAATAATGTAGGCCTAAATTCAACCAATAAAATTTATGTGTAAAAATATTATAATTACTACAGTACATGTAATAATTTGAAGCTATAAGAATGTCACAGCAGTGCATTTATAATTATAGTTATAATTTTGTGCAAAAAAATGATCCACATTACTTTTTAATTTTGAAAATAAAATATATTAATAAATTATTTCATAAATGCTTTTTCTATCCTGGACAGGTAATATTCAATACATTTACTTATATAATCATGATACAGGTACAAAAATACCGATGTATAAGATAATAATTCTTATAGTAGTCTATAGTAACGCCCCTTTTGTGGGAAGTGTTAAGGCATTTATCAATGGGTTATGATAACGATTTGACGTCATTTCTGTCCACACGCTAATCTATTGTATTGGTATTGTACTGTACCACGTCACATTTACATTAGTTACATTCAGTGTGCCTTCTTTTCAAATAATATGTACTCATTTGCTCTGATGGCTTCAAATGAATCAGCAAACAAATTGCTAACAAGTTTTAATCCATTCCTTTACTGTAACACAGTGGTGGAACCCCATTTGGATCTCAAAATTGAGCATCGGTAAAATATATTTGATTTTCCGCTGATTTAACTAGATATATGTGAAGGAGAAAAAATGTCAATCACGGGGTAAGTTTTCAACGTTTAAAACATTTATATAATATTCAAAGCTATTTTTAAGAAAATCGAAATGTGATTCTACTCTCGTGGCTTTCCTCTACATTTACCTATTTTGTTCGGATTTTTATGCAGTCTTCATCGAGATATTCTTTCCGTAGTTGGTTCTGTTGTGCCCAAAAAAAGCGATGCGTACGAAGAAAATGTCGCTAAACGGACTCCATATACAAAGTTTTCAAACAATCTTACCAGAAAACGATGCTGAACATTCAAACAAACCCTTAATGAAACACTTATTAAGAGTGGTCTCAAAAAAAGGAATTGCCGGTCAAATTCCAGTCGAGCTTCATATGTGCTGAAGAGATCCATAGGTGATATAGGAAACCGTCTACGAAACTACGGGTCACTTTCATATAGTAATTGAATAGCCAATCTAAAGGAGATACAAGTTTTGGCTGAAAGTACATAAGTCCGCATGTTTGGTTAAATATCACTACATCAACATGCTAACTATCTGGTGCTAGCAATACAAATAAATACTAACAATCTAAAATTACCGCATATATAAAAATTTTGACACAGAGCGAATACTACTGATATGATAAATAATTTCCCTCTGAGAAAATCTAACTTGGACAAGATTAAACAGTTGACAAATGAAAAAGGCCACATCTTTGTAAACCTATTGTTGCATATATTTCCCCTAGTATAGATTAACTACACATCAAGATTCCACAGGTGTATTCAATAGATTTTCACTCACAGACATTGATTGTCATGCAGTGAATTACAAGCAAACTTCTTTATAAAAACTGTCCTCAAAAGAAATATTCTACTCCCGTGTCGAGTAAACAACGCAAAACCAAACAAATATTTGTATGACAAGGGTAAATGAAGAATCATGAACTTTAATCTATTTACAATTTTGGGAGCAAACTGTTACTGTACGTTTAGGGTAATTATTTAGCGGCGTTCAAGTCCACTATTACGGTGTAAAACAGTTATCATCCCCAGTCCTCATTTTAACCGTTAACAGCATAAGTGACATATAGGAGCTCCCATGTGTGTACGTTTGAAAAAGTCACTGATTTCCAAACATAGATGCAATCGATGTTTTTGTATGCTAAATGTCTTTTATCTTTTTATGGATGATGTTATTCAAGCTCGACTTGGGATGATGCGTCTATATCAAATATTAGTTTTTATTACAGAATGATACACACAATAATAAAACATTGATTGTTTTATGGAAGTGATCCGCCATTATGTTGATGATTTCTAAGCCATGCACCTATGGATCTCTTCAGCACATATGGAGCTCAGATGGAATTTTGACCGGCGATTCCTTTATTTTTAGATCACTCTTAATAAATGTTTCAATAAGGGATTTGATTCAATGTTAAGCATTGTTTAGTGGTAAAAACTATTTGGAGTCCGTTTAGTGACATTTTCTTCTTACGCAATGTATATTTTGGGCACACTAGAACCCAGGACGGAATGAATATATCGATGAAGACTTCATAAAAATCCAATCAAAATGGGTAAATATAGAGGAAAGTCAAGAGGGTAGAATCACATTTCGATTTTCTTTAGAAAAAAGCTTTGAATTTTATAAAAAATGTTTAAAAAGTTGGAATTTTTTTTTTTCACCATGCTTAATTTTGAGATCTATATGAGATTCCACCCCCTGTGTGTAAGTAGCTAAGTAACTGTTGTTTCGACTTTCCGACAAGGAAAGGTCAAATGACATCTCTAGTGAACAAATCTCGTTAAACTAATCTGTAGAGCAGTAAATAACACGTGTTATAAAGTCACAATAATGTTTATAGCAATAAGCTTTTCTGTGTTTTGCCACTCCTACCTATATCTATGGCTTATTTTTGGCATTACTCTTTTTCATTTTGCTGTAGTTAACACTTTAATGTATGTTTTTGTTATCAAAGTAATATAGTAGAACTTATTCGAAGTATCAGTTATAAAGTAAAGTCAGTCTTGCAAGTATATGCATGCAGTGCATAACAATGTTCCCTCCCCTCCCTTATATTACAGAGTGATAATTCACTGACTACACTGTAACATGTAAAATGTTGCATGGCCATGTTGCTCATTTATATAGATCATCTTAGAGATGTGTTTTCTTTGTGAAACACATTAAAATACATATATGTTGTTTCTTGCAGGATATGTTAAATATATGTGACAAAGAATCGTGAAGGGGAATGACGTATAATCATGAATGGATGTTGACGTAAAAACTGACGTCAGGTATGACAACGCTTAAAGTTAACAGTCTCTTATTATACTTGTAAAATTTTAATTCCTTAAATGTCATTTGTGTACATTTCACTTTGTGGGCATCCAACTGGTGTGATGAGTTTTACCTAAGTCCCTTTAAAAACAAGGTTAAGTCCCTTGATAAAGTAGGACAGGCTTATCATTGTAAATTTTACTACAGTCATTTTCATGAAGCGTTGCAAAAAGTTATGAAAATAAAGATCAAGTTATACAGTAAATGATGAAGATATATATGTTATTTACATTAAGTAACTAATTTGCAATGTAACAAATAATGTAATTTCTACAAAAAAAGGGATATCAAATTTTCAGCTTTAATGAGAGTTTGGACAGTCTTAATAATTTGGTTGCTATAGTAAATAAAATTTATAAAGACAAGAATTACTGAGAGAAAGTAAATCCTATAGCAAATTGCACACTCAAATTATGTAAATATATTTCCCAATCACCTATGTTACTATGGATACACGTTGGAAATAAAAAAGAAGCCATTTAGTTGCTTTATTTTATGTCCAAATCGCTTCACGTTGTCTTTCTAATATTTTTAATAATAAAAGAATAAAAGAAACTAACCTGATATATACATGATATATGTATTCTATCATAAAGATTATGCACGAGCCCACTTTCGTGCCATGGAACAAAAATTCATAGTTACTCTAGCAACAAAAATCATAACATTACATAACATATTGTTTAGAGCTAGTAACATATCGTTTCCAGAGCAACACTATTTAAACAAGCAATTATCATAGTATTGCAAGCAATCCATGAGCCCCCTATACCGGTTAGACCCACATCAACATTCTGAAGCGCCAATGGCCATTCACTAATGTTTCAATTTTTCTCTATTTTAAGTAAATTTTTTGGAAAAGTTCTTTAAAAGTGATCACAGGAAACAGTTTTTATGAACAGACAGACAGACGGACTGAAGGACACTCTAAACTCAGCTCTTTTTGACTAATCACAAATATTGTTATATTTGCCATATTTTAAGCCTTTTTGTTGCCATGGCAACCAATGTTTTTCAAAATAGGAAGAAAAGATAAGACATGCATAATCTCCAGACTGCAATTTACCCATATGTCAAGTTTCATAAAAATATTTCCAGTACTTTTTGAGTTATCACTGGATTCAGTTAATTTATGTGTAAAATTTGCCATATTTTCAGTCTATGTGTTGCCATAGCAACCAGAATTTTCAACATAGGAAGAAAAGAAAAAGACGTGCATAATCTCCAGACTGCCATCTATCCATATTACAAGTTTCATAAAAATATTTTCATTACTTTTTGCGTAAACACTGGATCCAGTTTACGTGTAAAATTTGCCATATTTTAAGTTTATTTGTTGCCATAGCAAACCAGAATTTTCAACATAAGAAGAAAAGAAAAAGACGTGCATAATCTCTAGACTGCCATCTACCCATATTTCAAGTTTCATAAAAATATTTCATGTACTTTTTGCGTTATCACTGGATCAAGTTTATGTGTAAAATTTTCCATATTTTCAGCCTATTTGTTGCCATAGCAAACAGAATTTTCAACATAGGAAGAAAAGAAAAAGATGTGTATAATCTCCATACTGCCATCTATAGAGGATATTGAATGAGTGTAAGTTCAATACTGAATTTATTGCACGAGTTGAATAAAATTATATTATGCGAGCCTCTGGCGAGCATAATATTATTTTATCCAACGAGTGCAATAAATTTAGTAATAAACTTACTCTAATTTAATATTCTATTTATCACATACCCAAAATAAGACCATTTAAAGTGAAATAAGAGTCATTTTTCATTGACGCGCCTATAGTATAACGCTAACATTTAGCGCGTCTTTACACAATGTTTGTATTACGCTAATGACGTCACGTCAAAATATATGCACGGTCGTGCAATACCATATTTACGGAGTCGCAAATAAACAGATATTTTTCATAAGTAGAGGATATTGAGAGAGTGAGACACTGTTAAAAGTGCAAAAAGAACCATGTTTCATTGACGCGCTCTCATTGTAATGTTAACATTTAGCGCTTCTTTACACGTCACGTAAAATATGATTTGCACGACCGTTTAATACCATTTTTACGTAATAGCAAAATCATCACGGTATGTGATAAAAAGTAGTATCAAACAACGTCTTGTTGCTATAATAAAATATAAAAGTGGTCTGTGAAGAATTTCTAACATCATGATCGTGGTGTTTTAATGGTTGCTTTTTCGTTAACAGAATAATGTGTATGAATATTGTATGAGTTTTGCGAGTGTTTTATGGAGAGAAACTTGCAATGGTTTTATTAAATTTGGGGAAATACAGAAGTCATGTGATAGTTGTGGATATTAGTTTTTTCAATAATATTTTGGCCAGATGTCAATGTTTTTCATTCTTATTGGCAGAAAATTGTTAAGAAGTGTTTTTTGCACTCACATTTTTACAAATAAAATATACTTCAAATTTGAACATTGCACTGCAGATTATTCCATAATTAGTCCCCTACCGGTTTACCGGAGAGGACTTTAGGTTAACCCTTCGTCCGTCTGTCTGTCTGCCTGTCAGTCCGTCCGTCCAGAAAACTAGATTCCGCGATAACTTGAAAAGTACTGAAAATATTTTTATGAAACTTCATATATGGATTTATCACACACCCGTGCCGATTTTGCGACTCCGTAAATATGGTATTGAAAGGCCGTGCATATATTTTGACGTGACGTCATTAGCGTTATACAAACATAGTGTAAAGACGCGCTAAACGTCAGCGTTATACTACAATTAAGCGCTTCAATGAAAAATGACTCTTATTTCACTTTAAATGGTCTTATCCTCTTTACAAGACATGTCTCATTGCTAATCATTGACAAATAATGCGGGGCTTTAAATAGATTAACGATTCGTTTTGTTGTTGTTGTCGTTTTCTTAATGCAGGAGAGCAACAACTCTTGTTGACTAAAAATGAAAAGTTACGTCCCTATGTCATTTTACGAAGCTTCTCTGCAATGGTTTTATTAATGATAATAGGTTTTCATATTCATAAACAAAGTACTACGTACAATTTCCTTTTCAACTACCAATTGTTGTTACAAGTACAGACGCAGGTCATCATCAGAACTGTATATACTGTATATAATAATTATGTTGTAAATTATACCTTGACTGTATTTTCTTATCTTTCCGTACTTAACATTCTGAAAATTGAAAATAATTTAGACAATATCAAAATTACGTATGTAAAATAAGATTTCTGTTTAAGATATTACAGATAATTAACTGTCGGAAGAGTACGGTACTAACTTCCTGCTCAACTGCACAACTTTTAAGATATGTGTCCAGTAGGCTGACTAAGCCCTGTGACACGGGTTCGAATTTTATCTTGATTTCAACAAAATATCCAACTGATGTTTAGTTTGAAGATGTTAAATACAGAAACATTTATTGCAGTTATTCCATAAAATATCAACTTCTATATATACTTCTTCACCCCATCAATTATTGGCTGATGTATTGGTTTGCAGTTTTCATCAAATATCCCTATAAATAACGTTGTGTTGAACGACATATTAAAAAAAGATGTATGGACCAAAAATTCAATAAAAAAATTGGAAGTAGAATTGTATAAAAGAAATAGAAATTCGTAAATACTGCAAGGTTATACAAGTCTTAGTCTTGAAAGACCCTGTACAGTTGTTCTTTCAAGCTGTCGCTTAATTGTAACGTTTTTATAAGGGAAGGCCCGTTGCCAAATGTTAAGGTCAACCATTTTGCCAAATATAATGTACCAATGTATTGTTACTGCCTTTATATGTGTGTATATGTTTCCCTTTCGGGATGTTTAAATGTATTTATGAAATCAACGTTTTTATCAAGATATAAAGCTCTAAAATTAGGATTACACGATATCAACAATCCAAACTTTCTTTTAATTTACGTAACGTTTAACAGAATAAGATTAATAATAAATGTAAAGAAGATATATGAAAGGAGAATGAATAGTGCCTTTACAAAAACTATGTGAGAAATCACAGTGAAAAACTCACATAAAATATTGATCACAAGGAATTAACATATAATCGCGGAGCTTTAGATATTAGCAATTTTTCACTTTAATTAACCTGTGGTTGATTAACCATGGAGATCAAATATTTAAATATTTTATGAATAGTTCAATTGTTCAAATGTACTTTACTCAGTCTTTAATCTGTATTTCCCATTTAAAGACGGTACGGTTTACAGACAGGTTTTAGCGTTTAAATTTACTATCTTATTTAGGTTGTTGAAGGATATCTTACCGGTGGCGATTTGTAAAGAAAATATATATCAACAAAAGTTTTTAAAGTTTATGTATTTTGAAATAATACATTAAATGCAGTGGTAACGTAACATTGTATGGATTTAAGACATTGAAAGTTATTAAACTGAATAGGAATTTTAAGGAACCATGGGTTAAACGGACTGTAATTGAAAGTTAAAAAACTTTTTCAAGATGTTACCTAAAATGCGTGAGAAAATCAAAGCTGTGAGATTTGCACTAGCAAATCAGAGATCGATTATACTGTAAGCGAGTTTAGCATACAGTCGTATTGGTGGAAGCTGAACTTATTTCTTGAGAGAGTTTGAAACTGTCAGAAGCTTTTATTGTAACAGTTCATTAAATAAAAGTGAATAATTATTTAGAAGAAAATTCAAAGGCACAAAGTGGTCACTGATTCTGTAGGATTTTATCAGCAGATCTATCGATATATATATTCTGACAGAATATATACACAAACTCTATGATCAACTTATTTAATTGTTATTTGTAATTATTAATATCAAAGTTAAGTTGAACTGTTAACCATGTCTTATAATTCAAGTTCATGTTTGATATATTTTACCAGTTTTATTGTGAGGAATTTCGTCTTGTCTACATTAAATTATGGCTGAGGAGGAATTAGGTCCATTAATGGAGGAAAACGCTGGAGTACGTAACACCACTCTTGATTTCTTACGCTCTTTTTCTGTTCTCAGTGATGATTCAGATTTTGATGAGTTAGATGAGCCAGATACCCCTGGAGATTATCTGGATTGCACAGATGGAGATCTATCAAGCCTGGTGGAGCATTCCTCCATTAGACACACTATTACATCAGGAATCTCAGTGGATGCAGGAAAACCGGATCACCAGGGTATGAGTTTCAATTTTTTAATTTGTCACAGTGACTAGAACACTTTTAACTAAAAAAAAAATAAGATAATGAGATTGTGAATTGAGACTTTGCAAGTTAATATAACAAAAAAACTGTGGCCCAAAGACCATCATGCTGCTTGAATATATACATACATGAATATCAGTAGCATCAATCTTATTTATACTCAATCAAGAAAATATGAATATAAAATAACTCATACATGCATGTAATCAAAATAATGATCTTGACCTAGCCTAAAAACTGAAATAAGACAATGTGGGGTAAGATTATGAGAAGGAGAAAATTAAAAGTTAGACAATAAAAAGGTTTTAAAGCTGGTAGTGGTAACCCCTAAATAAAATTTGGGAAGAGCTGATCAGCAGCAATCACACATTAAAAAAAACAAACACAAGTGACATGGCAGTTATGTTTGTTTGCTTGGGTTTTACATCACACCCACACAGTATAGGTCATATGGTGACGTTCCAGCTTTACTGGTGGAGGAAGACCTCAGGTGCCCTTCCATGCATTATTTCAATGTACCCCAGCAGGAACTACAGTCTCCACCCTTGTGATCCTGAACGGATGCCACTGGGGTGTCAGGGTGACTCCCTACCCCCATCACATCGAAACAAAAATGAAGAGGCTGGGGGCTTTGAGTGTCCCTGATTTTGTTCATCTGAGGAAAGGGTGTAGTGTCAGTGATTTTTTTTCCAATTTTCAAAATAACCTGTGGCTTTCTGAAGGGGAAAATATAGCGCGATAATCAGAAAAGGGGGAAAATCAAATTCTAACAACTGAGAATGGAATTTACACACACATTTAATAAAATTTTCAATTTCAATTCAATTTAACATTCATGGTACATAGCCGAGGCAATAGGGACAGCTTTCTGTCTTCTAACTGATATAATAAGTCAGATGCTGTTGAGTCATGTTTCTGGTGAAGAAGTGCACAGGGCATTTTAGGAGTAAATATTGGCTTTTTTAGGGGAAAATATATCTATTTTGAGCTAGGGGAAACAGCCTTTATTCGGCTGTAAAATACAGGGAAAAAAATCACTGAGTGTATACTTACTCCCCTCCAAATGTCCAGCAGGGCTTCTATCAAAAATTCCAAAATTTTAAAGTCAGATACTGAAAATTTCTGACATTTGAAGTCACATTTTATAGGTAAAGAAGGAAAAGCATTATAGTTTGAAAGTCAAAAGCCATAATCAGGAGTAAATGACTCCCAAACTTCCATTAATGGAAGTCATGGCCCACTAAAGGGGATGGGGACCAAGCTCCTTCTGTTTTTATACATACATGTATCTATTACAACTATAAGCAAATAAAAAGCACATAAGAAACATATAAAATATAGACCATTTTCAGCGTTTCTTTATGGCAGACTAGTAAAATAAATCAAAAGAAGTAGCTACATTAAGCATTAACTTTTTACATACATACAAAGAGTAACTAAAGCCAAGGCATACAGAGAACAATACAAAGAAGTAATGCACACAGAGAGCACTTACATTTGAAACCACTCCAGGTCTGAATAAGTCTCCTAAATTCGTCAAAATGAGTTTCTGTTCTTAGCTCGTTCGGAAGGCTATTCCAGACCTGTTTGGCTTCATAGTGGAATCCTTTTTAAAATCCTTTATAGCTTCAGAACCTAAAATAATGTGATTTTATTTTGTTCTAGCATATGTTATTTACATATTTGCTTAAACCAAATAAATAGTACACGATTCTATTATTCAACGCATTTGGTCATTTTCTTATACATGCAGGGCTCATCCTGGGGGGAAATTTTAGGGAGAAGTGACGACCTCGCGAAAATTAGGGAGAAGGGAAACAACCCAATGTGTATGCATTAACATGCATGGCTATACATCCTTTAATTATAATATAAACACAATTTACATCACTTAAAATATTTCTCCAGTTTATTAATTAATAGTAGATTAATTCATGGTAGTATAAATTAAAAGTAGATTAATTATTTAGTAGTAGATCTGGCAATGGCATCTTAATGTTTTTGAGCTGCAAATATGAACATAAAAATTATTTTTGATATCTATTGATCAGCTATTTATAAGCTTTCTCTAAATATGTGTTTATATATTTTCATGTACATTTGTTGATAATAATGTGTAAGGAAAGATATGGTGATAAGATCAATTTCATATTTTCATATAATACTTTCCTCACCTTTAAAAGATGAAGTCACACTGGATATTGACTAATAATATCTGTTCTGGTAACAGAAATTTCTTAGCAATTGTACAGAATGTTGTAATGTCACGATTAATATGCATATATTATGCTTATAAACAATTTTTCAACATCAAAGAATATGTAAAAATAAGTACTGCAAACATTTGTGCACATTATATTTGATCACTAAAATTACATACATTCATTTCTTATTGAAAAATTTGACTGAGAAAATTGTAGGAAAATTAAATTTCTAATTACCTCCTTTTATTTTTCATGAAACTTTAAATTCGAGGGTAATAATCTTTAAATAATGCTTTTTTTTAAAATTTACAATATTGATAAATCTTAATCTAAGCGTCCATTTTACGACATTAAAACAAATATATATATTGAAACAATAAGAACACTTCTTTCCCGAAAATTTTGTTGTCATGATATACGACGATATGTTAGTTAGTCGGGATCACGGCGTAAACTGTGTCAAATTTGGGCATTTCTACCAAAGACAGAACAATGTCAAAACACCCCCACTGTCTACAACATACCATTCGCAAGATTTTTTGCGAATTGGCTTTCTTAAATTTTTGCGTAGGTGTAACTTTATCAGAATCAGTTAACTTTCTTACGCTCGGTTTCGGCATTTCGCCTTGTAGCCATGACGTGAGCGAAATAACAATTTTACAGATAAAAAATTGAGTTAACAGACTGAAATCATTTCCCAAAACTATGATTAACTTTTTAATCCGGTCGCTGATCATTAATAATTGATTATTTTTAATTGCTAACAGTTTTTGACTAGCCGTAAAAATCCATTGCACATCGGCTCTTTACTCGGGTTAAAAACCCCACCATCGAAGTGCATCGTGTATATCCAATTAGGAAAGATTGCACGTGTTTAGTAATTGGGGAAAAAAAATGTATATTATCGCCAAATCCCGTATTAAAATCGCAAAACTATATACCGTTCGGGCCGATGCTCTCATTTTACTGTTTAGAGTAGGCGGTCTATCGCTTTCGCTTACAGGTAGAAGGTAAGTATAAGCGACGCTCTGATTGGATAATGACAATAAGCGGTCATTCGTCATATGGGCGGATACAATCTCTGCTCTTTACATCGCTAAGTAATTACTATTTGGGAATTAAGATTTTATCGGCGATGTTGACTTCTCTTTGATCAATCGGAAGAGCGAAATTGGAATATACACGGCGAAGTTTTCGCCTGAATCGCCCTTCCGGATGAGCCCTGTATACATGTATGTAGATAACTAAAAGACTGCTTTATATTGTAAAGAACAGTATTAATAAAACATTTTCAGTATCCTTTGAATTTGTGTATATGTAATTATGTTGCATTTAATATTATTTAAACATGGCATTGGATGATCAAAAGCTACAGGATATGAAGCAAAAAAAACAACAAAAATAAAAAACAGCAAGATTCCCTACCTACTCTGAATTTTTCAATATTGTCCCCTGACATTGTATATATAAATTTGCCTTACTAATATTTCAAACCTTTCTTTTTTGAACATCTAGTTGAAAAAATCTATGACAAGTTTCCAATGAAATTAAGTACAAAAAGTGTGATGAAGCCCTTGTTACAGCACCATACATAACCTAAACTTCAACCAAACATGCCCAGGACTTGCATGCTTGCAATAATAAAGATGACTTTTGTTGCATGCCACTGTGTCATGTGTAGCAAAAAAACCCAATTGAATTGTATTAAACAGGATATTGTAATTTATATGCACGACAAAAACATGTACAAGTATATAGAAAACATTATTTGTTTAAGCTATCGGTATTCATTTTAAAAATTATATTTTGACTTAACTTTCCTTTCAATCATCTTCAGTATTCAAGTGAAGCACTGGTTTTTGAAGAAACTTTTTTTATCAGTTGCTTTAATGATGAATAGGTATTACATTAAGAAGCTGTTTACCCTGTTTATACAAATCTGTAATTACTTAACCAGATGTTTGTGTATTGAATGGCCATGCTTTTTGTTCATTAAAAATGATGTCATGTGAATATTTACATGAAGCATTTTTTGTATATTTCAGCCCAATTGATATGGGAAAAATTGGTTAAGAAAAATTGATTTTCCCCTTTTTAACAAAGTTTGTTGTAAATAAATTTTGGAAATATAAAAAGAGTAGCTTGGCTGTGAATCAGCCCTGTCTTGAATTCATTGTATAGAAACAATGTTAGCTTAAATACAGTTTAATCTGTAAAATTTAATGCCGTATTTTTGAAAGAATTATTTGATGTCAGAGCTGATTTATGAATGCTTACCCTCGAACACCCAATGAAGCATGTGTAATAAAAAATGTTCTAATATAATTTCATTTTTATATAATAAAAAGTTAGTTGTTCATAACTTCATATAAAGAAATAGGACTACATTGTATTTGAAGAGTCTTGAGTCTTCATATTCCATTAAATTTTGAATATTTTTATATGTATTATACATGTATGTATGGCAGTTGTGAAATATTTTTTTTTGTACAATTTGAATGAGCATAATTTTTTTTACATTATTTTGCTAAATTATGCAGTTGTTTCCCAGTGTTGGAAGAAATGCATTGTAAAAAGTCCATATTGGGAATTTTAGAGAAACTAAACTCATTTATAATGAATGACAAATATTATATACAACTGTATATAATAAATAAAATACACTCTAAGATGAATTTATCTGTATTTTGTAATAACTTTCTGCACTTGAAGTACATATAACAATTTTCTGTATAAATATTAAATACTGGGTGTGGGAAATGATTCAGAGATACATCTTTGGCTTCATCTTCACCAGGCATATTGTTTTGAAAATAATTAAATAATTCCATGGTTTTCCTTTTTGACATATTATAGACCAAAATTTGTATTAGATAGTACTAACTACTTATAAGCTGTTTTGTCACATACATTTCAATTTATCTTGTTCTTGAGCCTTAATTACCTGGAAGTCTTAATAGGAAGTCTTAATAGTATTTAAGATGTACATTTAAAAAAAAACTTTACATGGGTTTAAAATGACATCTTTGATTTTATATGGGAGAAAATAAGAAGTAATTATTATCATCTCTATGGAAAATTACCATAGTAACGGTAAACAATATTCAGTTTTATTACTCAAATGTTTATAAATGTAAAAGTAATAAAAGTTTGTTTATGTCTTATTACAGATTCAAAGATCATTCCATTCTCTAGTATCCACAAACCACCTAAGGGTTTGACTCACATCCGGCCAGATTGCTGGATGAAAGATGTGCCTATAAATGTTAGTATCACAGATGTTCAACGTGAACACCACCCTCATATGACCAGGAAAGCTTTCAACCCAAACTTGTAAGTATAAGATTTTTTCTATGCTGGACAGTATCTTAGAAATGATTGGTATGTTTGTAGAAACTGATTGTAGAATATATGAGCCGTGTCATGACAAAACCAACATAATGGGTTTGCGACCAGCATGGATCCAGACCAGCCTGTGCATCCGCGCAGTCTGATCATGATCCATGCTGTTCGCTATCAGTTTAACTACTTGTTATAGGGTTTGTAAGCAAACAACATGGATCCTGATCAGACTGCGCAAATGCGCAGGCTGGTCTGGATCCATCTTGTTTCAAACCCAATATGTTGGTTTTGTCATGACGCGGCTCATATAGAGTATAATATTTTTATTATATTGCCTATGATGTCTATGTACATTCTGGTATTTGATACAAGTGACATGTATACATGTAAAACATTATAAAACTGCAAGATTGAGGAAAAAATACCTAGAAGTTCATAATACAAAACACAAAGACAGTCCTGTTGGTTGAATGATCTGTAAAAAACCATAATAAATGTGCTATACATAACTGGTCTAGCTTACGGAACGTTGGTGGTTCTAATCAGGTGCCTATTCATGCCTGAAATAATGCACAGAAGGGCACCTAATGTTTTCCTCCACCAGTAAAGCTGGAACGTCAAGGTATGACCTATACTGTGTCGATGTAACGTAAAACCCAAAACAAACAAACAAAACATAACTGGTAGTGACCATTTATAACCAGATGATAGAAATTGAAATCAAGTTGTAAATTATATTTACTAATTGGCTTCTCTTAAACACAAATTAATCATTATTATCTAACAAGATACCCTGTTCTGTCATTCTGTCATTCCGTCCTTCCGTCATCATCAGTTTCTGTTCATTATCTTGATAACCGTTGCACATATTGAACTCAAATTTGACATATGGATATGTCATCATGAGAAAATACAGGTCAAGTTCGATATTGGTCATGGTTCGATGATTTTGGGCTGAGTTATGCCCCTTTTATTTTGAAAATAATATGAAATTTTCATTTCCATTCATTATCTCCCCAACGGTACAACACATTCAACTCAAATTTGACATATGGATATGACATGAGAAAATACAGGTCAAGATTGAATTTGGTCATGGTTCAATGGATTTTTGGGCAGAGTTATGCCCCTTTTTACTTTGAAAATAATATGAAATTTTTTTCAGTTTCCGTTTATTATCTCCCCAACGGTATTACACATTCAACTCAAATTTAAACATAGGGACACCTATACGTCAAAGGAATTTTGCAGGTCAACTTAAAATATTGGTCATCTGTTCAATGATTTTTTGACGCAGAGTTATGCCCCTGTTCACTTTGAAAGTTAATTATTGAAATTTTCCAGTTTCTGTTTATTATCTCCCCAACGGTACAACAACATTTAAACTCAAATTTGACATATGGATAAGTTTTTTGGAATGCCCAGGTCCAAGGTTCGAATTTAGTCATGTCAACCAATGATTTTGGCCAGAGTAATGCCCCTTTCACTTTAGAAACATAATATTGAACAAATTTACAGTTTCTGTTATTATCAAACCCCAACAGTGTTACATATTCAACTCAAAATTGACATATGGATATGTCAAAGGAATGCGCAGGTCAAGTTAGAATTTGGTCATGGTTCGATGATTTTTTGGCGGAGTTATGTCCCTTTCACTTTGAAAATAATATAGATACATGTTTAAGTTTGAATTTGGTCGTGGCTCAATGATTTTGGACAAACTTATCTTTCCTGAATGTTGGAAAATTTTTGCACTTTCAGTTTCATCACTCATACTTTTGTGGAAATGTAAATAGCCATTATTTTGGCTACAAATATGCAATATGCTTTTTTCAAAAGGTTAAGACTGAATAATTTCAGTGCCTTGAACATTGTATAAAAATGGTTTCTGTTAACATTGAAAAGTTTTAAGGGCTTTGAACTTTGAAAGAAAAAAATAATTTGTGCAAACAAATTTGAAACTAAATATTGTAACATTTGAAATTTTGGCTGCATGGGGGGCATCCGTGGCATGATGACACATTTCTAGTTAACATGTTGATTTACACGAATAGAAACAATCATAAGCTTTACTGCTAGTAAAAGCAAATAATTGCTTTTCCTAATCCTTTGAAAACAGTTATAATCTAAGGTTTATCTTATCTGATATTTACATATACATGTATGTACTTATGTAAAGGTAAGTTAAATCATGATTCCATGATTGCTTCAGGGCGACCAGGATTAATTCACAAATAACCATCTTTTTAAAGAAAATTTGGTGGTGTAATGGGTTTTGAGCCTTAAGTTATTTTTCAGCGTTACAAATCCTCCCCATATTTTTAAATATCAACTTATCTTTCTTTAAAAAAAACGAAAGATTTAAATGCTTCATAAAGCAATACAGGTTTTGTAGTCTGTGTATTTATGTAAACAATTAAAATATAGATTATTTTCAATATACCGTACTGATTTATTGATAGCATGTTAAAAGTGAAACATTACTTCCTGTGTATTGATTGCCTTGATCCATATCGTATAGTCAAGTACAGTGTCATGCTAATCTTTTCTAATATCTTTACAAAAAAAGTCTCATGAGTATTTTTATTAGAGGAAAATTGATCTCTAAATAATCTTTATTGCTTTTTCATGTAAAATTTCTGGAGTTGTCTTTGAATTGCATTATTAAGTCTGAGGTAATTACATGAGTGATATATTTTGGGTATTTCCTTGTGTTATACAAGTATAATATGCCTATGGCAGTAGCTTTAATAGCTTATGTTATCAAGTGCAAATTGACCGCTGCATGTATAAAATGGTCATGGTGATGTGAACCATGCTTATAATACTACATTCTCATACATTATATTAACTCTTTTATATAATATAGGTCAAACATGAATATCTGACAAATTATATTGATACATTGATATGAAACTTGGAATTTCCTTCTTTTTTAACACTAATAATCAAGAATATATTCACTATCAAGTGATGTTGGTACATGTGCAGCTTTGTATTGTTTTATGTTTTCATTTTCTATTTACAATACATGTAAAGGTCAACATTGAGCTCAGAATATCTATTACAGTGTTTATTTATTTATATTGAATTAATTTTACTGAATCAAAGCTCAATTTCAAGCATATTTTATTCATCACATAAGAACATATTTACATACATGTGATATTTACAATCAATAAAAAAAATAATTAGACTAGAAACCATCTAATGCTTATTGAAGTATTTCCTTCAAAATATATTTGTTTATTAAAAGAGTACATTTTAATATGTATTGAACCATATTTCCTTATTAAACTAATGATTTACTGTTCCAAATTAAAAACAAAGTTAAGTTCATTACACCAATTTAGTGTAAATTAAATTTCATGTTACCAATTTCAGCCCTCTTAGGCTTACGTTGATATCAAATTTTCCGAATTTTCCAGAAGTTTGTCTCATGCTTCTTAATTCTCTACAGACTGTAAAATTTGATTTGTTAAAAGTTCATCTGTATGTATGGGATTGTTAATTGACAAAATAACCTTAAAGATGAAAGAATGATTTATTGAAACTAACTTAATGTGTCTTGTGATAGATTGTGACAGAATGTGACATAGAAACACTGAGAACATATTAAGCTGATTAAGGAGACCTTGCTGAGGTCATGCAAGCTTTTTGTTAAATAAGCTCAGTTATTGTAAAGTACACACTGTGTTGTTGTAGGTGTAGATCAATAAAGCCCAGTACATCTGAATCTTGTGATTTCTAGAAACACAGGACCTGAAATGATCATGATCTATTTTATAAGCATTAGTCTTAAACCTTATTTAAGTCACTCACAGTTGGATTCCTGGAATTATAACCAGTACTAGTGTCATATGAGGAAACATGCTTGCAACTTAAGTAAAGCTTCAATCCGCAATCCCTTGGATGAGGAATTTTTGCCAGGCCAGCCTGTATTTCCATGTCTGGTATACCACCAGTGAAGATCCAGGCCAGCCTGTATTTCCATGCCTGGTATGTTACCAGTGAAGATCCAGGCTAGCCTGTATTTTTATGTCTGATATGCCAGCAGTGAAGATCTAGGCCAGCCTGTATTTCCATACCTGGTATGCCACCAGTGAAGATCCAGGCCAGCCTGGTATTTTACTAGTGAAGATCCAGGCCAGCCTGTATTTCCATGTCTGGTATGCCACCAGTGAAAATCTAGGCCAGCCTTTATTTCTATGTCTGATATGCCAGCAGTGAAGATCTAGGCCAGCCTGTATTTCCATACCTGGTATACCACCAGTGAAGATCCAGGCCATACCTGGTATTTTACTAGTGAAGATCCAGGCCAGCCTGTATTTCCATGTCTGGTATGCCACCAGTGAAAATCTAGGCCAGCCTATATTTCTATGTCTGATATGCCAGCAGTGAAGATCCAGGCCAGCCTGTATTTCCATGCCTGGTATGTTACTAGTGATGATCAAGGCCATAGCCTGTATTTCTATGCCTGATAAGCCACCAGTGAAGATCCAGGCCAGCCTGTATTTCTATGCCCTGTATATCACCAGTGATGATTTAGGCTAGCTTATATTTACAGACATTTTGTTCTTTGAAAATCTATTTTAGTATTGAAATCGGAGCCAAAATTTATAGCATGTAGAAAATCCATTACACAAATTAATTCAACAAGGTGAAAAAGTAAAAATGTACTGAAAATTAAAGGGAAACATTGTTTTAAATGTACTTAGAAAATAAGTATCATGTAATACATTATATTCAATTGAATATTAAAATGTTCACACTGTTGTATAAAGTTAAAGTATGACCTGTTACAGTAATTAGTTATTTCCTGTATCAGATATAGGAGATTGTAAAAATGATATAGAACTTGTTATATCAGCCTAGATCCTTGTTATATATACATTCATGATCATCCTTCATTAAAAATATTGCATATTAATTGTTACAGAATAGAAAAGTACCTAGCTTGATATTGTTAACAAGTTAGTTTATTTCTTGTT